AAAATCAGACTGTCTACAAGCACCGAGCAGTGCGTTATTTTCTTGATTTCATTTGCAAATGCAGTCTGTTGAATTAACCTATTAATCAAAAAGTAGTACAGCTGCCTTAAATTCTTTCTGAAAAAACAGCAAGCTTTGTGCAAACAAAACACAGATACAAAGCTATGCATAACTACGAGGCGCGAGTTACTCCTGCCCCGACAAAGGAAAGATGCATGACCTTCAAGACCGCAGCACACGCAGAGTGGGTCTCCGACTCCTGGGGCAAGGAGCTCAGCCACGAGACACCCGCGGCCTGCGCTTTTCCAGACAGGACCACTGGTACTGAGTTCTTTACCCCGACGTCCGCCAAGGGGACTATGCCAGGTTTACAATGGAGAGAGCTGGGACCAGGGCCAAGCCTCAGGTTTCGCGCTGACCCCTCGCGAGCTCCAGCTACAACCCACCGCCCCACCCCCAGCGCATGCCCCAGCGCATGCGCAGAGCTGCGAGCCCGCGCAATAGACTGCATGCGAGGGACCTCCGCACACACTCACCCGCCGAAGAAATTAGAGGACGTGCAGCTTTTGTATTACGGCCTCCAGGCCCCAGCACTCTTAAAAGCCAACCCCCCGAGGAGCCCAGCTTACCGCCGCCCCACATCGCGACAAACGATCCCACCTCTTTTCCGGTCCCTCCCGAAAAAAGATCCCCAACATAAAGGTTCCGAGATCCACTTTCGCCCTCTGCAGCCGACTTTTTTTTTCTCCTTTGCAGTCTGTTCCGTTGCCCAGGCTGGAGTACAGTCCCTGATCTGGGATCACTGCAATCTCCGCCACTCGGGTTCAAGCGATTCTCCATGTTGGCTGGTCTCAAATTCCTGACCTCCTCAGGTGATCCACCCGCCTTGGCCTCCCAAAGTGCTGGGATTACAGGCGTGAGCCACCACGCCCGGCCTGCAGCCAACTTTCATGATTGTATCGAGTGTTGTGTATGTACGGCTATACTTTCACGCTCATCTAGCAAACTGTACATGCGATGAAACTGTAAGATATTTTTACTATCATAAACTTTGAAGATCCTTTATTTCTATAAGACCACCTGAAACCTCACGTTCAAAGTTGACCTCAATCAGGCCATTACTTTGTGCTGTGTTATCTTTTATTGCCATGTAGCTCCATTTCACACTTAACAGATGTCTCTTCAAGGACTTTTATATTCCTGTAAGACGCTGACCCTAATGCTAAGAATCGCAAGAGTATGGGAGCACGTCTTCCTCAAGGGAAGAATTCTTTCTCCTTTCAAGGCATTCGAATATCAGATGGCCAGAAGGCCAAATGTAAAACTTATTTTCTGCAAATGACTATTATCCTGTACCAGGCATATACATCATGTAGTAGGAGGCGTTTGTGGCTCCGTCTAGGCAAACTTCATTTAGAGCTAGGAACAGTGATCAGTAACATTCTACCTCTAAATGCAAAAAAGTCTTTCTTTGGGTAAGAACAATGACAAATCTCCAACATTGAAGGCAAAAAAAATATTCTGTACTTTCCACAGGCAGGGTCAAATTGGTAAAGGGTTCTTTCAATTAGTGAAATTTACCATTCAGGAATAGTTTTTTTTTTTTTTTTTTTTTTTGAGACAGCCTCACTCTGTTGCTCAGGCTGGAGTGCAGTGGCACGATCTCAGCTCACTGCAACCTCCGCACCCCCAGGCTCGGGTGATTCTCGTGCCTTAGCCTCCTGAGTAGCTGGGATTACAGGTGTATGCCACCACTCCCGGCTAATTTTTGTAGTTTCAGTCAGGGTTTCACCATGTTGGCCAGGCTGGTCTCAAACTCCTGACTTCAGGTGATCTGCCTGCCTCAGCCTCCCACAGTTCTGGGATTACAGGTGTGAGCCACCTCACCCAGCCAGGAATAGTCTTTCATTTATGGTTCTTAGCTAACATATTGACCTCCTCCTAAGAGTGGTCGCACTTTTCAGTTGCTATGTCCTTTTCAGAGCTCCTCCACCCTTAGATACATGATCATCTCGCCACATGAAGGCAGAAAGCACTGCACAAAAGAAAATGTAGCATGTGTTACATTTATTGGAGTGACACATCCAAGGAAAAAGCAAACTACAAGCGTGATTAAATAAAGTTCTAGGAGCTTTGTACGTACTTTCTTTGAATGTACCACACTTCACCGGGCTTCAAAGCCTTTCCAATACATTTTCAGTTTAACAAGAAAGGGAATCAATGATTTGCCTTAATGCTGACAAGAAGTACGTGTTTTGAACACCCAGAACTAGTCTGGCCCAGATAAGCAAAACTAGCTAATAGTACTTCTCGCTACAAACATCAACAAAGGGTTTTCCCAATGACTCTTAAACCTAAGTGGTATTGGAAAGTTGTATTGGCTGTAATGCAGCATATGGCCATTGTTGGAGATACTTCCCCAGACTATTATTATGATCTCACCTGTAAGAGTCTACATATTTATTCTGCTATAAAACTCTTAATGTCTATTTTGTAATTCAATTTTACAAACATTTTTTTTTTCATCCAAGGGTAAAGTGCTCCCTTGTAGCTTTGAAATCATAAACAGCTGGGTGCAGAGGCTAATGCCTGTAATCCCAGCACCTTGGGAGGCCGAAGTGGACGGATCATCTGAGGTCAAGAGTTCAAGACCAGCCTGGCAAATATGGTGAAACCCCACCTCTACTACAAAAAATACAAAAATTAACTGAGCATGGTGATGGAAGCCTGTAATCCCAGCTACTTGGGAGGCTGAGGCAAGAGAATCGTTTGGGAGGTGGAGGTTGCAGTAAGCTAGATCACACCACTGCACTCCAGCCTGGGCAACAGAGCAAGACTCTGTCTCCAAAAAAAAAAAAAAAGAAAAAAAAGATATACCACTAGTTTAACTGGTAAGTTTTCACATTTACTTAAAAATTTTACATAAATTGATAACTCAGAATAATTTTATCATAACTACCAAAATCAGAATGTGGCAGATTTAACCAAGGTATCTTTAAAGGAACTCTACAGGTATCTGATAAACCTTTATGGTATAAATATAACCCATGTGTGCTTTTTGAAGAGCTAAAGCCCATTTTCTCTTTTAAATTTTACATATTACAACCAAATTCCACTTAAAACTGAAAAACTTAACAGCTGGATGTGTTTAGAAATAATCTAATTTGGCTGGGTGCGATGGCTCACACTTGCAATCCCAGCATGTTGGGAGGCTGAGGCAGGCGGATCACGAGGTCAAGAGATCAAGACCATCCTGGCCAACATGATGAAACCCTGTCTCTACTAAAAACACAAAAATTAGCTGGGCATAGTGGCACATGCCTGTAGTCCCAGCTACTTGGGTGGCTGAGGCAGGAGAGTTGCTTGAACCCGGGAGGCGGAGGTTGCAGAGCCATCACACCACTGCACTCCAGCCTGGCGACAGTGAGACTCCATCCCAAAACAAAAAACCGCATCTAATTCCTCACTTACAGCTGAATAAGTTAAGGCCCATGGTGATTTAGTGATTTGCCTAAAACACATCAAGAAACAGAGCCAGCTCAATCCAATGACTCTTAATACTTCCATTTACGCAGTCGGCTGGGAGCGATGGCTCACGCTTGTAATCCCAGTACTTTGGGGGGCCAAGGCGGGTGGATCACCTGAGACCAGGAGTTCGAGACCAGCTGGCCAACATAGCGAAACCCCGTCTCTACTAAAAATACAAAAATTAGCCAGGTGTGGTGGCGGGTGCTGTAATCCCAGCTATTCAGGAGGCTGAGGCAGGAGAATCACTTGAACCCAGGAGGTGGAGATTGCAGTGAGCCAAGATTGCACCACTGCACTCCAGCCTGGGCAACAGCAAGACTCCATCTCAAAAACCAAAAAACAGTAACTATGCAGTCATATATTGCTTAACTTGGGGACATGTGACAAATGTGTCATTAGGTGCTTTCATTGTGATGTGAACATCATAGAGTATACTTACATAAACCTAGATGGTATAGACTACTACACACCCAGGCTACATGGTATAGCCTATCGCTCCTAGGCTACAAATACTATATTGAAAACGGCAGGCAACTGTAATACAATGGTTTTGTGTATTTAACCACAGAAAAGGTACAGAAAAATACCACATTATAATCTTATGGGACCACTGTTGTATATGTGGCCTGTCACTGACTGAAACGTCGTTATGTGGTATATGACTGTACTCAGTACATTTTAGAAACTTCAATAAATACATTTAAATTTATCTAAGAGAAGAAAAACTCAGTTTAGATGTAAAGATTTCCATAAGGCAACACTACAGGGACTGTAAACCTAATACAACTCCTATGTAAAAATTCCCAAATACAATAAAATGTTTTTTTGTTTGTTTTTTTTTGAGATGAGTCTTGCTCTGTCGCCCAGGCTGGAGTGCAGTGGCACAATCTCGGCTCACTGCCAGCTCCGCCTCCTGGGTTCACACCATTCTTTTGCCTCAGCCCCCCCAGTAGCTGGGACTACAGGCGCCGGCCACCACACCCAGCTAATTTTTTGTATTTTTAGTAGAGACGGGGTTTCACCGTGTTAGCCAGGATGGTCTCAATCTCCTGACCTCATGAACCGCCCACCTCAGCCTCCCAAAGTGCTGGGATTACAGGCGTTAGCCACTGCACCCAGCCAAAAAAAATTCTTTACTATTACCTTTCACGTGTTTAAGGAAACAAAAAACTCAGGACACTAAACAGACTGCGAAATTTACCTACTTGGTATTACACCACTAGAAACAGATGCTAAAAAGGTAATTTTATAGTGGCAGAAAACATATACACTAATGAGATTCCACACCAATTTTTATTTATATTTTGGGGCCTGAAACAAATCTTATAATCACCTCTTTCAAATTACATTTTATTCCCTTAATGGTGTGGTTTACCCCCACTCCACAAAAACAATTACGACTAACACACTAGAAATATTTTTTTAATAGAACCTCTTAAAGAAGACATTTTCATTAACCAATCCAGACCAAGGATTGTCTCAAAAATTTAATCTGTTAATTTTCTGGTGGTGTTATTTTAGAAAATATTTCATAACCAAATTATACATCTAACTTTTATGTAAGTTTTCGCATTCACATCCTAAATCATGAAAACCCTACCTTATAAAACCTTACCACTCAAGGTAAATACTATATCTCATGTCAAGAAAATAATGAATTCTCTAAATCTGGCACTAAAAGTCAGAAAAACCCAAATATCAAATTATAACACTGATTTATGTACTAATAATCACAAATGTCATGACGGCTTTTAAAAAAACTACAGATTTAACTGATAAGCTTGCAAATTACGGCAGAGTAAATAAAACTGTCAAATACTACTTTTGGCTCTAGTTTATATCTTGCCCAAAAATGTGCATATCATAGCCAACAGAATTTTTCTGTAGAATTTTATTTTGAAAATAATATTTCACTTCAAGATTGATCTAAAAAACATTTTAAGATATGAAAATGTTATACAACTTATCTATTACAAATTAATCAGATAATTCTGTAATTAGGTACACTGTGTTAGCTCGCCTACATAAAAAATATTGCACATTTTCCTTTATTTTGTCTCCAGATGTGATTGATGTCTAGACTATATAGAATTCCAAACTATTTTAAAGTTATTCTGTGAAATGTCATCTTTATAAATATCAGAACTAAATGCACTGTAAACAGCCATTTTGGTAAACATGCATTTATTCACAGTTGATTTATTTCCTTTAGATAAATGTATAACTGCTCAAAATTATATAATAACCTATGTAGAGGTACAAGAGCACACTATACAAATCTATTTCTATCTTCATGTTGAGGAAACACTGATCTTGGCAAAAATCTGGCATGATTTTTAAAATTAACTATTGCTGGTAAGAAGGCATACTTTAAAACTTTTCTGTGGCCTGCACCTGTTTTCTTTTAAAATTAAAATGTAAAAGCATTTGTTTTCAGAGATTCATTTATCACTGAATAAGTGATTACATAAAAAAAAAAAGGACCCTGAAAGCAACTGAGTTAAAATGCTTTGAGAGCCCCATTCTACTCGTAAGTTATCAATGCCTTAAACTGTTAGACCACTCACTAATCATAATTTTAAGAAATGGACAAAATCAGACAATTTTAATGTCATGAAATTGACACAAACCTGCATAATACAGCATTCCTCCATAATTTGAGGTCATATTATACTTTAAAAATATAAATAAATATATTGAATCATGAGTCTTATTTCTATAACCCCAAAAAGTGTTTCAAAATGCTTCTAAAACAGAAGTGACTGTAGAATATAGTTCCAGACTTGACTATTAGTGTCAAACACAATCGTTCCTTACAAATAACTCTACTGGTGCACTGGCTTGATTGATTCCAGCAATTTCATTTTACAGGAGTGAACCACACGTTATACACACAGAGAATATATTACTTGAAAATCCCCAAAATAGGAAGAAAAGTTTAGAAAGTTGTCAAATAACTTCCAAATGAAAAGTAAAGGTCTATTTCTAGCCCTCTTTCATAGCCTTAAAGTTGGAATCTGACAAAAGTCCATGGGTACAATGTACAAACTTTGACAAACTATTAAGTAAAAACCATTTTCTTTGGGGGAGGTGAGAGAAGGTACCTTTAAAACCTGTTATACAAAATTCCAGCTGCCTTTTGATAAAAGTACGTTCCTTAGATTAAAACCATAAAATTAAGGTGCAAGAGTTTAACAAAAATGAACTAAAGAGCTTTATTGACATCACAGTACATTCAAGAATAATTTTAAGAACATTACAGCTGAAAGAGAATGGCATGTTTATAGTCTTATTATGCACTATATTTTTTGAAAAAAATGTAATACAAAGAAATCCTATTAAGTAACTTGGAGCAGCATTGGAAAAAGTACACCTATTTACAGATTAAAAAAAAAAAAAAAGATTCTGGTTTCACCTACACAGCCACAATGTGCCTCTATAATGAGACAAGCCCTTAAAACTCATGGAATTTTTTTAAACAACATCATGGCATTCTTGCCACATCATTCCTCAGCGTTTACGACGGGGAGGGGTTGTTGATCTGAAAAAAAAGGGAAAAGACAAAATTTAAAAATAAAAATGTATTTTAAACTAAAAATCTGCAATTTTAAATAAATAATATTATATAGGATTTCTAACATTTAAGACTATGATTATTTATCAAGTACCAAACTGAGTTTATTAAAGAGAGAGAGAAAGGACACTTTCAACTTTGAATAAATTCAGTCAAATTTTTTAAAAAATCAGACAAAATACTTTAAAAAGTATACTACCTTGATCGGGACTTAGACTTGTGTTTGCGGCTTGCCTTCTTACCAGACCTTTGAGATTTCTCCACGGATCGCGATCGACTATGTTTAGGCTTCTTAGCCTTCTTTTCTTTGCTACTTCCTGGAGACTCAGAACTGCTCCTTCCACTAGAATCAGAGCCTGAATGTTTTTTACTATCTTTGGTAGTACTCTTCTTACTATCTTGTCTAGAATCATGTCTTATGATTTTAACAGATATAGAACCACTCCTAGAGAATGTTCTTTCACTTTCTCGTTTCCTTTTTAATCTATCATCCTGACTACTGAACTTAAAATCTTTTTCTTCCCTTTTTTGTTTCTCTTTTCTTTTATCCTGTTCACGTTCCCTTTCTTTGTCTTTCTTTTTCCTATCTTTATCTATACTTCGACTCCTCTCCTTTTTCCTCTCTTGTTCTTTAGCCTCACCTTTATGCTTATGACTGTTCCCACTAAGATTTCCACGTTGATCATCAATTTTACGCCTATCTCGACTCCTACTGCGACTGGCACGATTGGTTCGTCTATCCCTTGAGCGACTTCTACTTCTACGTCTCTCTCGGGAAGGACTCCGATTTCGTCGTCTTTCTCTTTCAATGCTATTTCTATTAGATCTCCTCCTATCTCTAATCTTTACCCTAGCCCTATTGCTCTCTATTTTAATTCTGCGAGAGTAGCTTCTACTCCTGCTACGTCTAGCTTTGACTGTTGGAGATCTACTCCTACTGTGTCTCTTTTTCCTTTTAGGAGAAGAAGACCGAGAAGAAGTACGACTACTACCTGAGCTAGAACTGTATGAAGAGCTAGAGACAGTACTACTAGTACTACTAGTTCTGCTATTGCTACTGGAACTACCACTACTAGAACTTCCCGACCTACTCCTTCCTTGTTTTTCTTTTTCTTTATGCTCTTTTTTTGGTTCTAAAACTGATGTGGTTTCATTTGGAGTTCTCTTCTTTTCATTAACCACATCACCGTCTGCTTCTCTTGCTTCTAGTAGTGATAAACTATTTTGCTCTTTATGGATAAATTCATTCATCTCTTTTGTAACCCTTTCTGTCTGTTGCTTTTCTTCTGAAATAGAAAAAGACAAAAACACTAAGAAAATGTGAATGTAAAATTCTCATACTACCAAATGTCAAGCTACCAGACTGCAACAACAGAACACCACTTTCAACAGAATTACAACGCAAGCCATATAAGTAATTCAAAATTTTTTAGTAACCACATTAAAAAAGTAAAAAGAAACAACTAAAATAACCTAATATACCAAAAATATTATCATTTCAACACATAATACATTTTTAAAAATTCTGTTTTCTTTTTCAAGTAAAGCTTTTGAAATCTAGCATGTAATTTATACCTACAGCACATGCCTAGCCACATTTCAAGTCCTCTATAGCTTGTAGTTAGTTAAGTTACTCTGCTGGACAGTGTAGCAAAATACAGTATCAAGATGTAGAGGTGCGTGTGAGGCAAGTAGGAAAAGACTTCCCTTTTGTCCAACTAAAGCAAAATTTTAAAGGTAAATATAAGTGGTTTATAGGGAAGTCTTAGCTGCTAACTCTTAATTACCTTTCTTAGATTTTTCAAAGAAGAAATTCTAAGTAAATTTTCTCTTTTGTTATTCTTATTATGTAAAGTATCTTAAGTAAAAAACTTCTAGGTTCTCTATTATCCTTATATATCCTAGCTACAAATTACTTTTCAATAGTCTTACAAATATATTTTTCCCATTTCAAAAGTAATCTTTTTCATTTCAAGAATTTTAACAAGAAATAAAAATACCCTAAATAGCTTGGCTTATAGCCACTGCAATGAATGGCTCCTAAAACAACCAAACAAAAATTCTGACTTTAGTTTCAGTTATATCACATGTTATTTATAATATAGCCTTTATTTTATCCTTTGATATTTTTAGGTTGGTTAAAAAATAAAAAGAAATACAAAACTGGACCAAAATTAAGTCTAAAAGGTATACTACACCTTCCATCTGTTTATCATGTAATAGCTGCTGTTCTTTTTCTTTTCTCCAAAAAGCTTCCTGTTTTTGCCGGATTCGATGCCGTAATTCTTCATCATCAGTATCAGATGACTCAGAGCCTCTGTCACTCCTCTCATCTTCGCTGTCTCCTGATCCATAACCACCCAGTCCACCTGTGTGCATAAAGCTCAGTCTATCATATGAAAAAAGTTATACTATGCACTAAAAACTTTTCAAGGTCCGAGAAGAAAGCTCATTTCTTTTTTCATTGCCTTTTCCCAGAAGAATATGCTTATTCGGGGTGGGGAGAAGTATACATTCAAATGCTTAAGTTCACAGAACCTTCAGGCAAAGGTTACTTAATATCTTATTCTTTCTGGACTATTTCATATCTTTCTCACTGTAAAGGAATCATAATGGGTTTGCTGTACTGTCCATACTAACCAACAAAACTACTTAACAGGGCAACAAAGCCATACTAAGGCTTAATCATGACCCTGAAAGTATTTCTAAAACTAACTTTTATTATTCAAAGTTTAGAAATCCCTAGAGCTAAGTAATTTTTCCCTGAAAAAATTAGAATACTATAATCTCCCTGGTACAGAAACATTATGGTGCTGAAACTACTCCCCACCCTGAAATGATATAAATAACCATAACAAAAACCACACGGGCATTTGGTTCTACCCACTTCTCTGCGTCCTCACAAAAATTAATTTGAAATGAAGATGTGGAAAAGGCAAATTCAGGCTTTTACAGCCTTGATAATATACCATGCAAATAGTAAATTATGAACACATCACTACTGTTTTACTATAAGATAAACCCTTTCCTCTATATTAAAACTTGACTTGCCACAACACAATCTATGTAAGTTATTAAAAGCATTAGTGGATAGGTTCTTCCCTAAGGCATGTATGCAATAATTCTGAAAGTGAGCTTAGATATTATCATGGCTAAATTATGAATTATCAAGTACAAACTATAGGTGTTCATATATAATTATATATATATATATATATAATGCATATATTGGAGCAATAAGGAAATCTTCCAATATAACTTGCCCCAATAAACTATGAATTAACCATCACATTTATAAATTTCTCACTGTGAATGAGTCAGTCAAAAAAATAGGCAAACCTTTTTAGACAGGATGACATAACCCTAAGACCTAGGTTTTTATAAACTGAGTAGGACTAATACAGTTTCAAAACAGAACACGTAGAGAGACAATGTATGTGTGATTTTTCCCTTTAGGCCCTTTCACAAATATGGAAAACACTTACCGAGTCCAGTGAGGGAAGCCAGTGCACTGGACTGTGCCAGCTGTTTTGCAGGAGCTTTGTATCACATCAACAACAGGAACAACATGTTAACACAAATAGCCACGATTTCATAGTCATGAGTCTATGGTATTGTTAAATCTACTACTATTGCTGCTTTTTGGGGAGAGAAGAAACATTAAAAACATAACATTCATTTTAAACCAGTATCATGTCTGGCTTTGAAATTATAACTCTGATGTGAGCTGAAATTGGTTTATAATGAGAAAAAATGTTGACAAGTATATCTGTATGTCTATTTCTGAGATTATGACATGTAACTTAATTTTTGTTTTCAATACATTTTTTAAGGTGTTACTAAAATATAGGGGTAGGGAATCACTTGCTTCTGTAAGAGATAACTGGTAAACTAAAAACTGAAGGTTGATAATTCAAAATTCATTAGTCAAAATAAACTGTATCAGAAGTCATACAATGCCATGTTATCTATAAAAAAAATCAGGTGAAATAAACTGAACATCAGAAATTTTCCACAATACATTTTAGAGGACAACAGCATGACTGCTAATTTGTACTCATGTAGGTCAGATAAAACAAAAATATTTGTATAGCTTTAATATGGTGTCTACAAATCTAATCTTTAAGAGTTAAAACATGCAAGAGAATATTCAAATATCTGGTAGAAATCCAACAAGGACAACAAAAAAAGTCCAAAATAGTCATCAGAACCAAAATACCCCAGGAAAAGCAAAATCAAAAACACCAAAATATACCTTTCGTTGCTTTGCGGTGTGCATCTTTGGCTACGTAATAAATTTCTTCATCTGTGACATCCAGTAGAATTTCTGTCAGAAGCATTTTTGTCAGCAACATCTAAAAAAGAGCATTTTATACAGTATTTCTAATGATTATAGCTACCAATAGTGTGACATCTTCAAAAATATTAAAATACAAAGTCATTTTTTTTTTTTTTTTTTTCAGACGGAGTCTCACTCTGTTGCCCAGGTTGGATCATAATGGCGTGATATCGGCTCATTGCAGCCCCCACCTCCTGGGTTCAAGCGATTCTCTTGCCTCAGTCTCCCAAGTGGCTGGAACTACAGGTGTGCACCACCACACCCAGCTAATTTTTGTATTTTCAGTAGAGATGGGGTTTCACCATGTTGGCCAGGATGGTCTTAAACTTCTGATCTCAAGTGATCTGCCTGCCTTGGCCTCCCAAAGTGCTGGGATTACAGGTGTGAGCCACCATGCCCAGCCACAAAGCCAATTTATAAAATATTTTTAGACATCAGAGCAGCCATTCCAAGGAATAAAGTATCCTGAACCTTTTTCTGTTAACATCAAAACGTCAAAAAAAATTCTAGCCTGAGTGCAATGGCTAACGCCTGTAATCCCAGCACTTTGGGAGGCCGAGGTGGACAGATCACCTGGGGTCAGGTGTTTGAGACCAGCCTGAACAACATGGTGAAACCCTGTCTCTACTAAAAAAATACAAAAAATTAGTCGGGCATGGTGGTGGGCACCTGTAATCCCAACTACTTGGGAGGCTGAGGCAGGAGAACTGCTTGAACCCAGGAAGCAGAGGTTGCAGTTTGCCGAGATCCCACCATTGCACTCCAGCCTGGGCAACAGTGAGACTCTGTCTCCAAAAGAAAAAAAAAAAAAATCCAAAATCGTATGGATCAAAGAAAAAAATATTATGAATGTATCTGTATAGTAGAGACACTGAATTCAAAACACTTTTTTCTTTTTTTCTAAGACAGGGTCTCACTCTGTCGCCCAGGATGGAATACAGTGGCACCACCTCAGCTCACTGCAACCTCCGCTTCCCAGGCTCAAACAATCCTCCCACCACCTCCTGAGTTGCTGGGACTACAGATGCACCTCACTATGCCTGGCTAATGTTTTGTAGAGACAAGGTCTCACTATAGTGCCCAGGTTGGTCTTGAACTCCTGGACTCAAGCAATCCCCCCTGCCTTGGCCCCCCGTGAAGTACTAGGATTACCCCAGCCTGAAATCAAAACATTTAAAACAGTCCCTATTAATGAAAGTTTCTATAATTGTTTTAAGTTAAAAGGAGCATCTCTTCAATTAATAATACTGGTCAGCAGTTCTAGTTTCTATTTTTTCCTCTAATATTGTCTCCAAAAAAAAATTGCAAACAAAATAGATCCGTGTACATAGTAAGAACTTTAACATTCTACCATTTGATACTCTTTCTCCTCTTCAGTCATCTCAGGGTCACTATGATCTTCTTGAGGAACTGGGGATGGACTTCTGGTGACTTTCCCACTACTTGCAGCCTCAACATTTTCAGTGTCTTCTTCTTCCTCATCACTATCCTATAAAAAAATAATAGTATGGTAGTCCAAATTCATGTGTATAATGTAAAATCCTTATCTTACATACCAGAAAATCTTAAACCCCAAACTAAAAAGCCTATGAAGAAGAAATATGAGTGAAATTGCTATTTAAATTATATTTATTACAGATTTCATTTGATAATTTAAAAAGTATAACCTGGGAAAAATGTAAGATTACAAGATGGCTTAGGAAAATACCCAGAAAAACATAATGCCCAGAGACTGATTTAATTATTATCTATTACATATAATGGGCCTGAGAGGCTTATAGAACTTTGGATAAATGGACCATAGACATATAATATATTCAGTATAACTTTTACAGCTATATATTTAAGCTATTTACCTAAAGTTGCACAACTTAAAATGAAAAATCTCTAATCACATTTTTCAGGGCCAAGCTCTCAACTGGCCCTGAAACTCAGTAAAACTTGCTTCTTTTTAGCTCCATAATGAAAAGATAAAAACAAGGTCTATTTCAGATTAAACAAATGCCAGCAGTTTGTCTCCTGTCTTTGTATGGTTTTAGGTTTCAAGATCCAGATAGCATGTGACTCTTTCCTTTGTCAAAGAAGTGTCCCCAGTCACTTTTAATAATCCTAGTATGTAAAAGACAAGATGGCCACCTAGATACTACTGTGGAAAGACTACCTGAACCAGGGGAAAAATATATGTAACACAATCCCACAGGCATTTGGGAGGAAAGAGGAAGGATAATTTCCAAACAAATTTTTGATGCTTAAAAAAATCTGGAACACCACTATTTCATATAACGATTTTTTTAAAAAAATGAGTGGGCAGAGTGCCTCATGTCTGTAATCCTAGCACTTTGGGGGGCCAAGGTGGGAGAATCACTTGAAAAGCCAGGAGTTCAAGACCAGTCTGGGCAACACGGTGAAACCCCATCTCTACAAAAAATACAAAAATTAGGTGGGAGTGGTGGTGTGCACCTGTAGTCCTAGCTATGCACTTGGAAGGCTGAGTTGAGAGGACTGATTGAGTCCAGGAGTTCAAGGCTACAGTGAGCTATGATTGTGCAACTGCACTCCAGCCTGGGCAACAGAGTGAGGCCCTGATCCCCCAACTGCCTAAAAAGACAAAAAGAGTAAGCTTCAACAGTGTTTTTCTGTTGTTTCTTATTTTTGTTAATTAACATCTAGAACAGAAACACAGATTTGGTATATGTCTTTTGGGGAAAATAAAAGTAATTTACGGAATTTAAGCGAAACTAAAGCCTGCCAAAATCTAGTTATTCTGCTCTTCTTGAGACTTATTTCTAAACCACAAAATGGCCGTGGAAGACAGACCAATTTTCTGAGTTGCATACTGGCCAGTGCTGTGGCTATCATACCTGCTGAATAAAAAAGTTCCTAAACCACTCAAGCCATCTAACTGATGAAGATTTAAAGACTTTAAAATGTTGTTATACTTCCAGTGCTCATGTCAAAAACAATAAGAATTATTACATCCTCAGGTATATGTTTAAATGTTCAAAAGAGGGAGATTATATTTCTCTATTACTATTTTAAGGTAGATTTGTTTTATAATCTACCACTAGGGTGTCACCTGTACCATCATGAACAAATACAGATTGTTTATCAAGATCTAGCCAGCTCTCTGGAATGAAATGTTTATAAACTTGTCTTCCATTTTCTCCTTACTGTATCTTCAGTAACACATATATAAAAACATAATCCTCAATACACTTAATGAACATAATCTTAGGAACATCACTCTAATACTTTCCTATAGACTAAAATAAAATATCTATTTCAGTAAAGTTTTTACACAAACAAGATTATCACATGGCATTTCCTGTTGGGGATTCTACTTACAAATTTACTTCTCTGAGGTAAACGAGGGCCATCCCCTCCTTCAGCATCTTCTGTGGCCTTTTTTTCTTTTTTGGACAATTGTGAACGTTGTTGTTCCATTCTTTCTTTCTCCAATTTCTTCTGCTTTTCACGTTCCATTTTTTCAAGGCCTTCACGGATCCAAGCTGGAAGAGTCCTGCGTTTTACTGCGTCTGTTTCACATGGGAATATACACAAGTCAATTAAGTAAAATATTTCTACAAACTTGTGAGTAAATTTTAAAAATATCCCATTAAATATCAGGTTTTCTTAAATGCCATCACTTTTAGTAACAGTAGGGAACACTGCTCTAGTGCTTACAATCTGCCAGGACACCATGAAAGCATGTTAAACCATCATCTAATTTAATCCTTACAAAAGCCCTCAGAGATCACTACTATTACTCCACTTATTTCCACAGGTGAGGAAACTGAGACTCGAAAAAATTAAGTGATTTGCTAGTAAAACAGCAGTAAAGTTAGACTCTTTCTAAAATGTAAAAAATAAAGATTTATTAATAAATGCTCCTGTTCATTAAATACTGAACGATTTAGAACTTTCCGGATATAAAGTGGCATAAATATGTATTTGTCACTTGAAATAGGCTGGCTCTAAAATGGTATTTAAAAATTGAAATTTTCTGCCAAAACACTTAGGGGAAGTGAAATAAGCAGAGGAAAATTAATCTGACAGCAGTGCATCAGATGAACTGAGAGTGGACAGAGACTGAACAATTAGGTTTAAAAGGAGAAGGGCTCATGTATCTGCATAATGTACTGAAATGCCCACAGTGAAGAAAATATCAAAATGATATGGCTAGCATAAATTTGCACTTCATCACAAAATCTAGAATTTAATGTAAAGATTTAAAGAAAATTATTTAAACCTTTTAATATTTTAGCCCAGTATCATTTTTGTGAATTTAAGCTTTATGACCATAAAAAATAAAGTGTCAATTCCTAACACATCAGAGATACTTGAACAATTTTAATAAAACAAGACATCCCTTTTATAAAATGATTAAAAAAAGTCATGCCAATTGTGGTCCACTAAACTAATTAAATAGCTACCAATTTGTGGAGGCTCCTGCTTCACAGGAAGTGCAATAGGTGAACGCTGCCGATCCCTGAATGATGATGGCCTTTCTCTTCGATTCTGGGGAGGTGCTGGAGGTCCTGGAGGTCCTGGTTGCCAATAAGGAGGATGAAATCCACCTTGCGGTGGACCAAAAGCAGCCCCATGCTGAAAGAGTATTGCAGTTTATTTTTTCTTCAAATTAATACAATATACTCTCTGGGACACACGTGTGTTATGAACTGGGACAGTAGAAATCCATGTGTGCAGCACATCCAAGAATTCCATGGCTCTAACATCCACCGATACTTCTATAGTCCCAAGAACCTAGGCTTACTTTTCTTAAGATTTTCTGGCTATGTAAATGCAAAGAGGCTTCTAAAAGCCACTTGATAAGCTACTTTGAAGAAGTATATGAAATTTTTCATTCCAAATCCATTTACAAGCTAATCCTACCAACACTAAGACATCAAATAGATACTAATTTTTCTTTACCTAGACATTTTTGTCAATTTCAACACCCTACTTACAGTGAACAAAAAGTGAACTAAACAATTTAAGCTGTTTCTATAATCTTGCAGATATATTCATTTATAAGCAAAGATAGAAGTTACTGAATCATTAAATATTTTCTGCAATTTTGCTATTTTCAGAGGCTTTTCTAGGCCAGCTGCCAATACAGCTCTTTGTCTTGTTTACATGGGATCTACCACACAAAAGTAGGGTAAGCAGATGTTCCCTACCATTACATTTCTTCAAACAAGATAAAAACTGTTTTATCTGTATACCAAGTATACAACAAGTATCTGAATATTTATTAACGAGAGGATTACCATCTCAAGGTGAATATTATATGTCCATTATCAAATCTACCTTAGAATTCACAAAATAATGATTTTTCTTTCAAAATTTTAAATTATGATAGCAGTTTATAAGTTAATAATTGCAGTCAGTTACTTCAAAATGACAACTAGCACTATAATTTAAGGGTAGAACCTGGCAGAGGGAATAAAGTAAATAAAGCCCAGCATATGACACTATTCCCCACAGAGTTCTATGTCCCTAGGAATGAATTAGATGCTACAGAGGAAATTATATACAATTCCATTAACATGTCATGTCAGAATGGAAAAAAAAATGACACTAGAAAAACAGTCATAATTCTACATAGCACAAGGAATTACACTTAGGAAAATGATCTATGTTGATGTGTTTTATTCATGTCTTAACCATAAGCTATATTCAATTAGTGTGCATTTTCTAGTCTTTAACATTTAAATATACCATTTTGAAATATAAATTAGAAAACAAAACATCATATAGCTATTGCACTTACACATTTTTTTCAAAAATTTTCCCTAATGATCTTTTATACCATTTTCCTAATGAAGTAAGAAAATCAGAAAACAAATTCTAACTATTTTAATACTCAAAAATTGATAACTTTTCTGAGACAGAATGTGCTTATTTAAACAAGTCTGAAAAGTGAAACACGTATCTTAGGTATTCTTGATGAGACACTTCCAAAGAATGGATTACGTGCACATCTACAATATTAAAGCAACAAAATATCTTTCACCTGATAGTCAAACTGGTTCACTGGCCCCACTGCAAAATTATCGGGTGGTCCACCAAAGTTGTGATTGTTCTGGTTAAATATATGCCTGTTGTCAGGGGCAAATTCCCCACTGTCCTGACTGTTGCTGTCTTCAGAAGGAGGAACAATGTCCATTGGGCCTGGTGTTGGTGGCATCCATGGCTGATCTGGAGGGGGGTGTGGGGGTTGCTGATGCATTCCCCATTCTATTTAAGATTTAGGCATAAAAACATTCAACAGGGGGTTATAACAAAATCAACACAAAATTTTAAGATCTCAAGAAAGATTTTTCAGTAAACATACAGATTTAAAAAACAACTTATGACTTCTTGGTCAAATTCCTTTTGTCTTAAAAATAAGCAATAAACTAAACTGTCATATGTAATTCAAAATGAGCTAATTCCACTCTAATTCATATCCTAACCAAATGCCCAACGTTATTTTTAACAAATGTACCAAAATCCAAAGCACTATTTTTGTTAATTTTTATATTTTTGTTTAGTAGTAACACCACAAAAATAATACCTTGAGGTTTTATATAATTTCTTTCTTACACGAACACATTTATCCTCACAACATCCCTGTGAGGTAGGGAGAAATCAGTATTATTTTTGCCAATTTCAGGAGGGAAAATTGAGGCACACAGAGGTAAACCACTTGCCCGGGGTCACAAAGTAGAGTAAAACTAAGGGGTAGGGATGCCAGCGGGAGTCATTTAAGAACTTAAACGTAGGAACAAAAACATTTTCACATGTGGGGAAATTTCATTTTCAAGAAAGCTAGAAATGAACTACCTCACAGTATCAAAGACTAAAATATTTATGTTTTTAAAAGTAATCTGAATTCTCATATTTTTCATTTTAAATGAGGGACTCATTCTGTCACCCACGCTGGAGTGCAGTGGTGTGATCACAGCTCACTGCAGTCTCAATCTCCTAGGCTCAAGCAATCCTCCCACCTCAGCCTCCTGAGTAGCTGGGACTACAGGCACGCGCCTCTATGCCTGGCTAATTGTTAAGTTTTTTTTTTTTTTTTTTTGGTAGAGACAGGGCCTTGCTATGTTTATGTTGCCCAGGCTGGTCTCAACTGAGGTCTCCATTCTTATAAAGGAGAAACAAAAAGTATTAATAGGGAAAGGAGGTTATGACTTCACCATCAGCATACCCAAATGTGAGGCTAATTCCTCCATAGTTTCAAGTGACTATTAAAAAAGAATAACACAAGCCATGGAAGACTGAATTAGCATCAAGAAATCTACATCGTATTGTGAAATAAAACAAACAAAAAAGTAAAACACACAAAAACTTATGAAAGATCACTATCTGAAAAAAAAGGAAGAAAAAGGTAGGCGGATGGTCGGGGCAGAGTATATTTGACAGACTAATTTGTCACACAGTGACACAATTTTTCTTTAATTAGAGGCTAGACATGTTTTACTCTGCCAGTGCTGCTTCTGAAAAGGCCAGAGGTTGCAATAGAGAGACAAAGAATGCTCTCTTCCCTAGATGCCAAGTGAGGTTTCCAGAGTGTTCCCAGCCCCTGTCAGCCTAGGAATGAAGAACCAAGAAATGAATCAAACTGAGTGCCACAATGCTAGCAGAATGAGTACAGAATAATTTTAACCACAAAATGTCAAAGTCAAATCAAATTGAAAACTGCCTATTTTTAAAGAAGCATTAATTTCGGGAAGTCATACTACTAAGCAAATTTAAAAATTTAATAATAATCTTCATTTTGTTTTTTAAAAGTCCTAAAATTGTGAAAACATAAACAACAAACCTGGTTGCCACATTCTGTTGAAGTTTGAATCCCCTTGGAAATTCCCATGATTGTTTGGACCAGATTCCATTGTAGACATATCTTGTCCATTTGGCATCATTCCTGGTGGTTGTTCTACCATGCTTTGTTGTCCTGAAGCTTCTCTTTGGGCAATCCAAGCTTGGGCCAATGCAGCCCAGTCAATCTGGCCTAACGTAAATTAACATTGTTTTCAACATTCAGAATGTAGGAGCTAAAAGAATAGTGCCTCTATGTAAAACAAGCATCTCAATTATTCCTTAGATCTTAAATATTTCAGACAGAGAGGGTATGAGGGAAATTAGAAAAAAAATTTTTAAATGAGAGATCTTAAATATTAAAGCATACTGTGTCTGAAAGGGTGCTTAACAAATAACCCATATTCAGGCTAAAAAATAATATAACTAACACTTTCAGAAAAGAACTCCACAAGAACACTCTTAACCCATTTCTAATAATAATTCATTTAAAATTTATTCCCTGTATCTTACTTTACTGAGTTTTTAAATGTCATCACCTTTACAAAAAAAAATCACCACAAAAATAATCAAATGCTATCATTTCTTTCTTCAACATGTCCCATTTATCTTTCCAGGCCTGCATTCGAGCCTATAGGCCTTGGATGAGTGCAGCTACCTAATTCTATTTTTCCTCACGGTTGCCCTTCTTTAAGAAAGGCTCCCTTCTCTAGCCAAAACATGACTAGTGTAGTCGGGTTACAACTTCTTAGCCAATCTTTACTGAAAGTTCATTTCCCCACTATCTTGAAGACACTCTTCCCAAGATATATTTTTCCAATTTTTAAATTTTTATCTATCTATCTATCTATCTATCTATCTATCTATCTATCCATCCATCCATCCATCCATCCATCCATCCATCCATCCATCTATCCATCCACCCACCCACCCACCCATCTATCCATTCATCCACCCACCCACCCACCCATCTATCCATCCATGATCCATCCATCCATCCATCCATGTAGAGTCCGGGTTACGAGCCTGGCTAATTTTTGTATTTCTGGTAGCGACGGGGTTTCATCATGTTGCCCAGACTGGCCTCAAACTCCTGAGCTCAAGCAATTTGCCCACCTCAGCTTCCCAAAGTGCTAGGATTACAGGTGTGAGCCACTGCACCTGACCTCTCTTCCAAAGTATCTATATTTAACATTTCAAGACCTTTTTAATACTTTTTATTTTGCAAGTCCACTCAAAAATGCATTAAGATCTAATATTAATAAAGTAAACAAAGTAGAATAAGATATGTTTTTCTGCATCTTACTTTAATGAAGATTAAACAGGTATTCTCATACAGTTTGAAACACTGGCATAACGCCCTATGGGGTTACATGTGGCAATGTGCATCGGAAATTACCATGACTTAACAAACCTAGCTCTTTTCATAAGAAAATAATTGGACAAGTGGATAACGATATGTACACAAGATTACGCTAATTGTTTTAAAAGGTGAAAAGCTACAAATAATAAAACATCCAAAAGTGGCTTTGTTAAATTATGTTACAATCCTACAACAGAATGATACATGGCTATTGAAAAAAGAAATAGCATCAGATTAACGCAGCGAGGGCACAGTAATGTAAGTGGTCTTACAGATGAAACAAAATTGGCCACTAGTTAATAATTGTTAAAGCTAAGTAATAAATGGGGGACTCCCTATACTCCTCTACCTTTCTATGTGTGTCTGAAATAGTCCATAGCAAAAAAATTTTAAAATGATATAGCACACCATCCAGTTCAATATGATATACAACTTTAAGAGTCAGAATTCACATAAGTGTGTTCTTCATAAGCAACATATTTTAGGCTTTTCTCTTTCTTTAGAAAAACAAGGACTAAATCAGTTTAAAAAATGTAAAATCTTCAAAAAGCTTTCTATCTTTTGAGAGTCTTCCAAAGGGAAGTCCATTTCCTGCTATATAAGCCACGGCAAGGCTATTTATGAGAACATTAAATTCTGACCATAAAATGGTCCAATACACCAATCTTAATTTCATATCCCTTAACCCTATCATGTGTCTTCTACCCATTTACACATATCCAACCCCACCCTTTCAAATTCAATTGGTTTCCTTACTTGGATCCTGTTGGTGCTGGAATGACTGCATCCATTGTTGCTGGTTCAAGGGCCACTGCTGCCAAGGCTGTCCTCCTTGATCCCACATCCCTTCTTTTAAAATATACTTGATTTTCTATCTTCAATAAATTAAACATAATTTAAAAACTATAGTGAGTTATTTAATCTTAAAACCTCACATCAGAAATTATTTTATGATGATACATTAATTTCATCAGAGGTCTAAAATTCTTGTCAATAGCTTGCCAGAGGCAACTAGAATTTTTAGGGTACCGAACGAGAGGTAGAAAATTTTATGTTAATGCTGGTCTCAGAATTTGATGGCAAGCATAACAATGAATTTAGCTCAAAAAAGACTTAAAAAAAACCCTCTATTTTTTGTACAATATAAATTTCTGGACAATCATTTTGAAGATTGTAGGAAAAAAGTGATTTCATTTCTCCCCAATCAAGATTCCTTTAAGATAGTAACCAAACAGCTTCAGCTGATGAAGAAAAATTCTTCCTCATAAATAATTACAGCTAACAAAAATGAAAAATGCAGAATATAATTAGAAAACTATCATATTGCCAAAAGTAATAAAACATTAATTCAGGAAACCTTACAAAAAAAGTTGATGAGAAATCAGAAATTCAAAGGTTGCCAAAATACCACCCCTACAGATTATTTAGGCGTCTACTATGCTCACAGAATCACTAAGAATTCTCATAATAAATATTTAACTGAGTCCAACTGAGCTTTTGGATTTTACTTACAATATAAAGCAATTTTACAGAATAAAGAAATGAGACAAACTGTATAAATCCAGAAAGTAAGACAGCCTCCAAGACCTGGTTTCTTAACATATAAATAGCATGGAAAAGATGGGAGGGAAGGTACTTTATGTTAACAACTATTAAATCTAGGAGATGGTATGGGGGGGAATCATCACACTAGCTCAACTTTTCTGTAAGCTAGTCTGAAAACATTTCTAATAAAAGGTTTAAAAGTCTTACAAGTCTAATATCTTTGTACTTTATCAAATACTGATACACAACCCTGTTCAAGAACCAGTGACTCACACAACCAGGGCATGGTTTCTTTTTTATTTTTGTATCCCAAGGCTTAGCTCATAGCAGGCATTTAATAAATGTTTACTAAATGAATCCTTCTAGACTGATCCTTTCCTGTATGCTAAAAACAAGATAAAAGCAAGCCTTTGTATTGCAGGATCACAAAAAGTAGGCAAGTTGGATAACAATATAATAGAGACATTAACTCTAATAGGACAACTGGAGATTATAATTCAGGCCTTTAAAAGTTTCCAACTCCAGTCTTCGCAGCATTCCCAGAATGCCATACAGGTATAGTTCTATCTGCAGCAGATCCTAATCCCTCAAATGAAAAACACTGTGGATTATGGGGGGTGTATTTCTTTTGTTACCTTGATTTCCTTATGAGTCAAATGTACCCATCTTCAAGTTACACTAATCAATTACAACAGCATTATTAGAATATGGCAAAATAGGCACTAGATAGCACAAATGAGGCCAACAACTGGTTTGGGTATCAGTTCCAAGTTAAATATATTTCTTTTTCTAACCCCTCTTCAGTGTTTCCTTCTTCCTCCCCTTTGTGTCCTCTCCAGTTTCCCAAGTACACCTTTAGAGCCCTACAGGTTATCAGAGCCCTTGAAAAGTAATTTCACTTACAACTTTAATTAAGAGTTAACAAATAAATAGGAAACACCAAGAAGACACACCAACTGCTATTTAAACTGACCTCAGAGGTTCACCTTCTGTTTAAAACTTAGGTTGATTCACACTACAGCTTCGAAGCATAGCAGCAAGATTATGTATGCCCTAGGGGGAAAAAAAGTAGATGTCTGCTTATAGATTATCATGATTTGCATAAAAATAAATTCTAGAGATGCAACATAAGTGTGATCATCTCCAAGTTAGTCACTTTTCCTTGCATTAACTTTATAATGGGGAATTATTTTATCATAATAAAGTTAAGGAAAAGAGATACACCAGAAATGAAGAGGCAAAGCATTTTAACATCTTATTTCTTTCCAAGTATCTTTTATTTACTTGAACAATTCCTTCATAATAAAAAACAATGTCAAACAATTTAGAGATTGAGAAAAAATGAACAACAAACATTTGAAATGAAGATCTCATCCACCTGTTATTAACTTAGATGATACAAATAAGGTAATAAAATGTATTAATTTAAATTTTCCTATAGAATTCTATGTTTAGAAATTAACATTAGCAAGGAGAGAACAGTTTGTTCCTGAAATGGTTTAGTTTCCTTTTTATTCAATCAACAGCTTTTACAGTTGACAGAAAGACAAACGTATTCATCTTTTTATCTTCAATAAGGTACAAGAAAGCATCTGGCACATACACACTAAACAAACAAGCAGTGTCTAGCTATTACTTTCTGTTTAAAGGCTAATGATGAGGAAGTTGTTAACTTCTACTTATGAAAACCAAAAAGCTTGCTGTGCTTTCCAACGCTTTAACAGCTTATCAGAGTTCAATGCATAATTTTCCTATCTTAAATTGTAAACCCATATAATATAGACATTATCAACAGCTCGATAAAGTGCCTACTGAAACTGAAAATGTGCACTTACTAAAACTATTTAAATGATGAAAATGATGTATAATGACTCCCTACCATCATTCCCAATCCATAAATTTACTTATCCAGAAATTACTCTAAATAAAGGTTGTTCTTACTAACGTTTAATGGTCGTAATGGACAACTTTTTTAGTTCCCCTTTTAAGTTTTCTGGTCACCACCTGTCACCTAGACTTCAGAGCACAGGCTCTGGTTCTGGATGCCTACCTACATCTGTTTGTTAGTGGTGTGAACATGAGTAAGTTATGCTCTAACCCTTGGTTTTCCAATCTGTAAAACAGAAGACCTAAATGTCTACACCCCAAAGGATTATTGTGAGGATTAAATAAAAAACACATAAAAACTAAGCATTGGAAGTTTCAATTTGTGGTGATTAATATCAATACTAGAGCTTTCTCACCATCACTTTTGGTAGCACTCTTCAAGTTAACAACTATTACGGGGTTTTAAAAAAAAGGTGATCGGCCAAGCGCAGTAGCTCACGCATGTAATCCCAGCACTTTGGGAGGCCAAGGCGGGTGGATTACCTGAGGTCAGGTGTTCAGGACCAGCCTAGCCAACATGTTGAAACCTTGTCTCTACTAAAAAACACAAAAATCAGCCAGGCATGGTGGCGGGTGCCTGTAATCCCAGCTACTTAGGAGGCTGAGACAGGAGAATTGCTTGAATCTGGGAGGTGGAGGCTGCAGTGAGCTGAGATTGTGCCATTGCACTCCAGCCTGGGCAACAAGAGAGAAACACTGTCTCAAAAAACAAAAAGTGTCATCAAGCCAACCCACTTCTGCTCAACTCCATTTCTTCTGCAGAAGCAAATCTAAAACTTACAGAGGTTTCACTTTATCTTTGAAAGAATTCTTTAGTCTAAATTTGTCTTTCTGTTTCATAGGTTGAAGCTTTTATTGTTATAATTATTATTTTTTTTTTGAAAGGGAGTCTTGCTCTGTCACCCAGGCTGGAGTGCAGTGGTGTGATCTGGGCTCACTGCAACCTCCACCTCCTGGGTTCAAGCGATTCTCCCGCCTCAGCCTCCTGAGTAGCTGGGATTACAAGTGCCCACCACCAAGCCTGGCTAATTTTTGTATTTTAGTAGAGATGGGGTTTCACTGTGTAGGTCAAGCTGGTCTCAAACTTCTGACCTCAAATGATCTGCCCCTCTTGGCCTCCCAAAGTGCTGGGATTATAGGTGTGAACCACTGTACCCGGCTAAAGCTTTTATTTAAAAAAAAAAAAAAAAAAAAGTTTTCCTATGCACAGAGGTTTTAATTTGCATATTTTCAAAAGTTTGATTTGTATCACTTATAATTATTTTTCTGTATGTTTAAGACAGCCACTTCTACTTTTGCTATATTTTTAGAAGCCGTTCTTCCCCAAAGTTTTAATGGAAGCTACTATTCAAGTAATACAATGTTTGGGACACTTAGGCTGAGAAAAATAGAAAAAAGATGTGAAATTGGGAAAAGCAGAGCAGAATAAAAAAACAGTAAAGAAGGTGATGGTAAGTTAAGGAAGTTAGAAGTTAGGGGCTCTTTATTAAAGTGCTTTAATTAAGTCTGGAGTTGAAAAACTTGATTTAGTTATAGAGGATGACTACTGGATGAGGGCACAGGTGGAACACCAAATGGTTAGTCTTTTAAAAGACAATTTACCGGCTGGGCACGGTGGCTCACGCCTGTAATCCTAGCACTTCGGGAGGCTGAGGCAGGTGGATTACCTGAGGTCAGGAGTTCAGGACCAGCCTGGTTAACATGGTGAAACCCGTCTCTACTAAAAACACAAAAAAATTAGCTGGGCATGGTGGCATGGGTCTGTAGTCCCAGCTACTCGGGAGGCTGAGGCAGGAGAATCACTTGAATTCGGGAGGTGGAAGTAGCAGTGAGCCGAGATCGCACCACTGCACTCCAGCCTGGGGACCAGAGCAGGACTCCGCCTCAGAAAAAAAAAAAAAAAGAGACAATTTGCCATTACGGCATCTTAACAAAACTGTATGTGCACATCCCTCTGACCCAGCAATTCCACTGCAGGGTCCTAAACCATGAATGTGAATATTCATACCATAATTCAAAAATCGGCAGCATATTGTGTAACAGTAAACACCTGGTTTCAGTGACATTAAATTAAAGGCAAGTTAAATAAGAGTGAGCTATACAGTAGATTCCTATTCAGTCATTAAAATGAATAAGGTAGATTTCTACTTCTACATACTGATACGTATTACTGTACAAACTACATTAAGTGCAAAAAAGGGGACTACAATCTTTCCCTTTTCTACAAAATTTTAATATTAAGTCCAAATTTCGTTTTCATGACCAGAGTTACCTGTTTTGGATAAGATTATCAAAATTTACTCTAAATCCTGTAAGAAAATGAGACAGGACATCTGCCCAATGTCTCACAGTTGAAGAAGTTTGTGTAATTTTTACTGCCTGTACTAGTCATTATGGACTGTGTTCATTAGCTTCATTTGGTTCTTTATATCTTTAAAAAATCTGTATTTTTTCTAAAAATATATATTCACAGAATAAACTAATTCAAAGAATACAGAAAGATATAAAATAAAGATTAAAATTATCTGATTCCTATTTCCAGTTCTTAGAGCTTAGCAGTTTTGAGATGATTTTGTAATTTAGTAATATTCTATACATAACTGCATTTTTTTTTTTTTTTCCGAGACAGAGTCTTGCTCTTTCGCCCAGGCTGGAGTACAGTGGTGTGATCGCGGCTCACTGCAAGCTCTGCCTCCCGGGCCCATGCCATTCTCCTGCCTCAGCCTCCCGAATAGCTGGGACTACAGGTGCCTGCTACTATGCCCAGCTAATTTTTTGTGTTCAGTGGAGACAGGGTTTCACTGTGTTAGCCAGGATGGTCCTCAATCTCCTGACCTTGTGATCCGCTCGCCTCGGTCTCCCAAAGTGCTGGGATTACAGGCGTGAGCCACTGCACCCGGCCCATAACTGCATTCTTAAAAAGAAAAGGCCTCAAGCGGCATCATTTTTCATGCATTGGGCAAATGTCCTCTGTCTCATTTCCTTACAGGATTTAGAGTAAATTTTGATAATCTTATCCAAAACAGGTAACTCTGGTCATGAAAACGAAATCTGGACTTACGTTAAAATTTTGTAGACAAGGGACAGACTGTAGTAAAGACTTGGTATAAAACTAGGAAATACTTAAACTTTTATATATGTTTCAGCACATAGTACAATGCTTGATAAGGAGTTTCATTAACTATTTTTTAATTAAAGAGTAAGATTACAAGTGATTTTATGGCAAGGATTCAGGAACGCTACTCTTTCTTCCTTCATCTTCACTACTAACAAATCTAACAAACGCAAAACCTAGAAAACAGAAGGAATACACGGCACAACACACAGTAATCAATGGATACATATTTTAAAATTTCACTATAGTTTAATGAAATAACATAACCTTGTACCATTAAAAATGACATTTACAAGTTGGTTTAAAAGTGATTTGGAAAATGCTGATAATTTAAAGATGGGCATTTGCTACCCTGTTCTTTTCCACTGTTTGAAAGCTTCCATTTAATAAGTTAAAGATGATATACAATACTTTTTATAGAGGGTCTGCATTAAATTTTCATGTTTTTGTCTTGGCTTAAACAAGAATCTTCCTTAGGGAAGGGAAAATATTTTATAATAATTTAAATTCTCCATAATGTTTTGTCCATATTAAGTGGTTAAATATTTATACTTCACTGAAATGTTAGCAAGTAAATACATTAATGTTCAACCATGAAAATGACATTCCAATACTGCTACTGTGATTTTATAACATCAAAAATTGATACCAATTTATTCACTCTTCCTTTAGATTTAATTTTAAAGTTTGTTAGGCTTGAGTTTTCAAGTTCGGAGAAATCTGATTAGTGATGGGCAAGGCTGCAAGACTTTCCTAAGAGTTATTTCCCTTTATGGAGTAAAGTTAACTGCTATTTCCTTGGAAAACAAATGGGGTCTGGGAAGAACAGGAAGATGAAAACCAAGGTTTGTATCAGATCATCAAAACCATCACACACTGCTGCAAAAAAAGTCGAGCGATAGCTATCACCAGTGTTATGGAATGAACTGTGTCCCTGTCCAGCAGATACACCGAAGTCCTAACTCCTGATACTTGTGAATATGTCCTTATTTGGAAATAGGGTCTTTGCAGATGTATTCAAATTACAATGAGTTCACATTTGATTAGGGGGGACCTTATTAAAAAAGAAACATAGACACTTACAGGGACAATGTAACATGACCACAGTGGTACAGATGGGAGTAGATGGCTCTAAAAGCCAAGGAACATCAAGGATTGACAAGAACTACCAAAAGCTAGGAAAAGACAAGGATCCCCCACAAAGCCATTAGAGAGCATGGCCCTACCAAAAGCTCAGTTTTACACTGTTAGCCTTCAGAACTGTGGAAGAATAAATTTCTATTGTTTGAAACCAGCCAGTTTGTGATAATTTGCTACGGTATCCCTAGAAAACTAATACAACCAGAAATGGCCATCATCTATTTTATCCTCTTCTTAAATGGATCTGTATTAGAACTTCATTGCTTTGCGGTCCTAAAATGACTTGTTTAAGTAACAATCACTTATTTATTTTTGAGACAATCTCACTCTGTTGCTCAGGCTGGAATGCAGCAGCGTGATCTCGGCTTATGGCAACCTCCACCTCCCAGGTTCAAGCAATTCTCATGCCTCAGCCTCCCGAGTAGCTGAGACTACAGGTGCACGACACCGCGCCAGGATAATGTTTGTATTTTTAGTAGGGATGGAGTTTCACCATGTTGCCCAGGCTATACTCGAACTTCTGGCCTCAATGATCCATCCTCCTCGGCCTCCCAAAGTGCTGGGACTACAGGCATGAGCCACCCTGCGTGGCCAAAGTGACAATCATTAATATTTACAAAAGTCACTCAAAGACTGTGACAGAGATGTATGAGAATTAAAATGTGGTATTTTAAAGTCCTTGAGCATCAACTACAAAATCAAAGAGCTACAGAAACACATCTATCATTTGATGCATAGTATGAAATATTTCTCAAATCAACCACAAAGCTGAGAAGCCAGAAAATACAAAAATTATCTTCGCCCCTGACATTTCAGTCTCACATATGAGTTGACTGACCTCAAAGTCAAAAAAGAATTTATTTGTTTAATTCAGATTAGGTGGAAATGGCACTGGTAAAGCTTAATCTTGTAATCATTTGAAATATGGAAAACAGAATTTTTGCTACTTTTATGTGACACGCATTTTAGTATATACTGAAATATTTGCAGCTTGTAGCTCAAAAGACATATTTTTTAAAGTGGAGGCCAAGGATGGCGCCTCATGCCTGTACACCGAGTACTTTGGGAGGCCAAGGTGGGTGGATCACTTGAGGACAGGAGTTCAAGACCAGCCTGGCCAACATGGCGAAACCTCCACTCTACTGAAAATACAAAAATTAGCCGGGCATGGTGGCGCATGCCTGTAGTCCCGGCTATTTAGCAGGCTGAGGCAGGACAATTACTTGAACCCAGGAGACGGGGGTTGCAGTGAGCCAAGATTGTGCCACCACTGCACTCCAGCCTGAGCAACAGAGTGACACTGTGTCTCAAAAAAAAAAAAAAAAAACTTTGCAGAATTGGATAGTTGGTTATAAATAACCCCCTCCCAAATACCAATAATTTAAAAATAAATGTAGAGAGAGAGCCCAAAATGACATCCTAGTAGCAATGAGCACACCTAGGCACTAGAACTTGGTTTTAATATCGTTCTTCAAAAAAAGGAATCAGGGATCCTTAAATAAATAGCTGATTCTAGGACTGCGACAGGAAATGTAAAAGATGAGTCTGGAGCATGTATACTGCCAGGAAGTAATAAAGTGCTAAAAAAAAAAAAAAAATTGATAGGAGCACATCAAAGGAGAACAGTAGACAACTCAAAGAGCTGCCAATGGCCAAAGCTGGAACAATTTCAGTAACAAAATAAAGAAGTACTGGATTATAATACAAGTTATGTAATAAACATCCACAGGCCCATAATGATATGATAAAATAAATTAACAAATAAATGGCAGGGAAGAGACAAATCTCCCACAGAGAATTCCAAAGAAATTATGTAAATATTCCACCCTAACTGAGGAAGAGCATAACTCTCCATTCAGTAAGCGTGGGCTCTGCAAAGTGACTTCCTTCCAAAGAGAACAGTACAAAAAGGGGTGGGGGAAGTAACTCTACAGTGGAAAATCTAACAAACACTACTCCAGAAGGGTGATCAAGGTCAATAACAATGTGATAAGTCACTTTGATAGTATCTATCCTTGATAGCATGTGCTGAAAAGGGCATCTTACCTCTGTGATCTTCCCCTGACACAGTCTGTAAAGCCATTTTAATCATGAGAAAAATGTCTGGCAAATTCCAAAAGCAGGGCACCCTACAATGTACCTGACCCATACTCCTCAAAAATGTCAAGGTCACTGTATTAATTTGGTATGTTTGCCATAACAAAGCACCAAAGACTGGGTGGCTTAAGCAATAGAAATTTATTTCCTCACTGTTCTGGAGGCATACAGTCTAATACCTATGGGGTTGATTTCATTCTGAGGCCTCTCTCCTTGGCTTGTGGATGGTTGTCTTCCCCGTTACGTCTTCACATCGTCATCCCTCTGTGTCCTACTCTCTTAAGGACAGCAGTTATTAATATATTGGGCTAACGTCCACCCTAGTAACCTCATCTTCTTTAAAGACCCTCTTTCCAAATACAGTCACGTTCTGGGGTATTGAGGTAGGGACTTCAAGATAAGAATTTTAGAAGGGCACAATTCAGCCCTTAACAGTCATCAAAAACAAGGAAAGCCTGAGAAACTGTCACAGCCAAGAATATACAGCCTAAGAATATACAACTAAATGTAATGTGATCTCCTAGCTGGGATCCTGGAACAGAAAAAGGACTTTAGATAAAATGTGAGGAAGCAGGAATAAACTATGGATCTTAGTTAATAATTTATCATTACTGGTTCATTAGTTGCAACAAATGTACCATACTAATATCTATTAATAAGAGAAACTGTGTGTGTAGTGGGGACGTCCTACGTGCTCAACGTAAACAAAAACTGTTCTAAAACATAAAGTCTTTTAGTAAGTTAAAAAAAAAAAAACCTCGCTCAAGAACATCTTTAAAGAACTGTTTCATTTTCTCTATAAGCCCTTTGACACTTTGCAAAAAAATTCCACAAGTAAATCTTTAGTAGTCTGGTTTCTGTTGGTTTTGCCCTGCTGCACTCAAATGAGGAATTCCAAGTTTATTTTGTTTTATTTGGGGGCAGGAGGAAGTAAAAAGATGTAAAACATTAATGTTGAATTAAAATCTTCAGCTAGAATGTTAATTTAACAACCCACGAACAAATTTGTCTAGTGCTCAATTTGTTCAGATGACGATACCATCTCCCACAGGGTAAAAAACTGAATTATCGGATACTACCTGTTCCTTTATTGAAGCTTAACACATATAATATCCATCATTAGGTAAGAACACACGAAAAACACGAACTAAGGAACCGCGCCTGCGTAGTCGGAGCCTCAAAGGGTATAAGCTTCAGGTTGGGAGCCCCCGCCTCCTCCGCCCGCCGAACCCCCTCCCCACAAGGGGGTTCCCACTGCGCACGCGCAGTGTTTAACGGCCGGTCAGGAACCCAACAATTAGTCCCTTCTCGTCCGAGGGGAAACTCTGTTAGAAGATGGGGCCGTGAGCACTCTCTTTAACAGGGACATTTCCTTTTCAGCGAAAGCACCGCTCTGATTTACCAAGTCTGGCGGACTGCACCGCTTTAAAGGAATGAGGTTCCAGCGGTCGCGCCAAGCAGCGTACGCAGCCTATTTTAAGTTACGCTACCGTCGCCACAGAAACTAAGAGGGTTGTAATGGTCCGGCAAGTGCCCACGTGTAATTGTTCTCCATCACTTACCTACTCTAGTTCGGGAACACCCTTGTCGCCGCCGTTCCGGTAATACCTCTCCAACGCTTTCGATGCTTCTACTTCTTCAGGAACAAGACAAGATGGCGCCCGATTTGTCTCACCCGGAAGTAAAGAATAATAACATCCGTTCGTCATCTGAAGCCATACCATCTCTCATCTAGGTTTGTGAACACGTGATTGTGCCGATTGACATGTTACGGCGCCATTTTTATTATGGGCAAAACCATTAACACCGGGCAACTGAACCATTCCTGCACGTTACTTTTTAATGTAGCCGGCGCCATTCCCGACCCATCTTTATCTTTATAGTGGCCAGAAAGCCAAGAGCGTAAGTGTTATATACACAGGGCGCCTTCAAATCTTTTACTTTAGTAACGTGATCTTCCTTCAAGGGGAAGTATGTTCTCTCCTGGAAACACTCCCGCCTTGGAGAAGGGGTTGAGTTCGCAACTCCACTTACAGACTACGGAGGAACCCCAGGGTCAAACCAAACAAATTCAGGCCAGTTGCTTAGCGCAGTTGAAGTTGCTTAGTGCGCTGGAAGCGGCATTTCAGGCAGTCCAACATCTGGCTGGAACCTTCTCAGAGTATTCCAGCGCTCAAGCGAGAGTATTCCAAGGATGGAATACTCTCGCTTGAGCGCTGCCGAGAGTTCCGCTTGAGGGAAACGAGTTTGTGAAGGTGAGCAGTCTAGGTCGGTAGCGAAAGCGGAGACCTTAGCTGACCCCGCAGCTGTCTTTTTCTTTGTTAACCTCAACACATCGCGCCCCCTTCCGGGAACACTTGCTCATCTCTCGCTTAACTAGTCTCGGTTTTTCATTATCTGTGACCTTTAGGGAACCGTGGCGGGGGCGGGGAAGTCTGGTTTCCGTCCTGCTTCTTTCCTTCAACTACAAGATGGCTTCTCAAAAGGACTTATGCAATGCCATTCCTCAAAGAGGGTACGTTGATTCCACAGTGTTTTTATATGAACAACGTTCAAGTGTCAAAAGTATCAATTTCCAGGCTAGGAGCTACAAGTTACAAGGATAACAGAAATGTTCCAAAGATAAAGTGTTTATTAACTACATCCTGGGAAGTGCCTTTCCAGAGAGTGACATGAAAACTTTTGCGTGACAAAGTGCACGAAGTATCTAAATTATTTCATTGGGAATTGTCATGCAAAAGAAATAGCAAATTACCGTAGAAACAAAATAGTAAGAGCACAGCTGGATGGATAAAGATACAGATGTGAAAATATAGATGCCCTTTGCTGAAAATTCAGTTTTCCTTAGCACTAGAAACCCAGATACTCCTGAATTAGCATTATAATAAAAGTCCTCACTAGCTAACCATCTGCCTTTCCTCCAATCCACGGACGTGGCCCTCAAAATAAAATTTTATCTTGTGAGAAACCTTCATTGATTACACCTGACAACACCATGACGCAGGTTCATGAGGATGCTACTGAAGGCAAAAGGAAATCCCTATTTCTCTGACCCTTTCCCTAATTTCCACTTAGCACAAATAAGACTACTCAACAGTCTGATTTTAAAAATCACTGTATGGGCCGGGCGTGGTGGCTCCTGCCTGCAATCCCAGCACTTTGGGAGGCTGAGGCAGGCATATCACTTGAGGTCAGGAGTTCGAGACCAGCCTAGCCAACATGGTGAAACCCCGTCTCTACTAAAAATACAAAAATTAGCTGGGCGTGGTGGCAGGTGCATGTAATCCTAGCTACTAGAGAGGCTGAGGCAGGAGAATTGCTTGAACCCAGGGTCAGAGGTCGCAGTGAGCCGAGATCTCCCACTGCACTCCAGCGTGGGCAAGAGTGAGTCTCTGTCCCAAAGCATAAAATAAATAAAAACCACTGTATGGAGCAAAAGAAGGACATATACCACATGTTATCAGTAATCTCTGATTCTGCTCTGTGATTTTGTGCATTTTCCAAGTTTTTTGCATCAGGTCTGATTTTCAAGTTAAATTCTCTGAGAAACATTCTCATCAGAGGAATGTTCTATCTTAGAGAAACCCGATTGTCCTAGTGAAACTGTCGTGTTCCTACTCCCTATAATCATATTGTAATTGTTTGCTTGTTTCCCTAGTAAAGGTGAGGCAATTTTCGGATAAGGGTTTTCTCCCTCACCTCTGCCCTCCAAGTCCCCAGCATCTGCTTTGCACACAGAAATTTTTACATATGCTGTATGATTGCATTAATATGTTCAACAATGATCCTAATGTAGGCCAGTCATTTTGGAAATGCATTGTGAAATGGAGAGGATTATTAAATACCTCACATTTTGTTCCTTGTGCCAGTTTAATGAGACACCCTCAGCAATTGCTGTTTACCAGACCTGAAAATGAATTTTACAGTTCCAATTCCAGTTCCCTTTCTCTAACCACCCTATTCTAAGAGTTCCCCATAACATTATGATCTTACGGACACATGAGGTAAGTATATGTATTTCAACACAGAATTTTCTAAGAATGTGTGTTGTGGTGTTAAATTTCTATGTAAGCAGCTGTCATGTGCATGATCTGCTACAGTTTGATCATCCTGCACCTGGATCATCAAATGCTTAGTAGTCTTATTTGACAGTCTTATTTTACCAGTCTTACTTGACAATCTGCTGTTAATGACTAACAACCAGGGGACTTTATAGGTTAAAATTTGTATTAACTTCCTCTGTTTTCAGTGTTTGAAGTAGAAAATTTGGCCAACCACTGTGGCTCACGCCTGTAATCCCAGCACTTTGGGAGACCAAGGAGGGTGGATCACCTGAGGCCGGGAGTCCGAGACCAGCCTGGCCACTGTGGCAAAACTGTCTACAAAAAAATACAAAAATTAGCTGGATGTGGTGGCCCGCACCTGTAGTCCCAGCTACTCAGGAGGCTGAGGCACGAGAATCACTTGAACCTAGGAGGCAGAGGTTGTCGTTAGCCAAGATTGCGCCACTGCACTCCAGTCTGGGCTACACAGCGAGACTGTCTCAATGAATGAATGAATGAATGAACGAATGAATGAATGAATGGAGTGAAGTAGAAAATTCTAGGGGAGGATATGTCACCTTCCATTATTACAGAAACAAATTATCCTTAAAGCAAAATGGAAATAAGCTAAGATGATATGTGGAAAATATATCAAAATAGGAACTATTGCTGTTTCTTGAGATTTGAACCTTTATAGTGTTATTAGGTGCCATATCACATCCATCTTAAAACTTAATAAAAATTTAAAGCTGTGGTATATATATACAATTGAATATTACTCAGCCTTAAAAGGGAATGAAATTCTGATGCATGCTACAATATGGATAAACCTTGAAAACATGCAAGATGAAATAAACCAGACACAAAAGGACGCATATTGTACAATTTCACTTACATGAAGTGCCTAGAATGGGCAAATTCACACAGATGGAGAGTAGAATAGAGTTCCCAGGAGTTGGGAGAAGGGGGGAATAAGAAGTTACTATTTAATGGGTACAGAGTTTTCATTTGGGATGATGAAAGAATTCTGGAAATGAATGGTGAAATTTGCACAACAATGTGAATGCACTTAATGACACTACTTATACACCTAAAAATGGTTAAAGAGGTAAAGTTGATGTTGTATATATTTTACCACATAATACAATGGAGAATGAAAAATATTTAAAGCTAGTATGCTACAGGCACATCCGTACAAATTACAACTTTTTTTTTTTTTTTTTTTTTTGAGATGGAGTCTCGCTCTGTTGCCAGGCTGGAGTGCAGTTGGCTCACTGCAACCTCTGCCTCCTGGGTTCAAGCGATTCTCCTGCCTCAGCCTCGCAAGTAGCTGGGACTATAGGTGCGTGCCACCACACCCAGCTAATTTTTGTATTTTTAGTACAGACAGGGTTTCACCATGTTCGCCAGGATGGTCTCAATCTCTTGACCTCATGATCTGCCCGCTTTGGCCTCTCAAAGTGCTGGGATTACAGGTGTGAGCCACCGCACCCGTCCTACTCTGTGATTCTTAATATAGTTACTTAAGCATTTCCTAGAAAGTAGTGAATCTGGCATAATGAAATATGAGGATATAAAATAATACTTTAGTTATTTAACAGTAGATCACATAGGGCTTTATGCAAGTGTTGTTCCTTTAGGCCAGGTTGGAGAAAGTAAGGTAAACTTATGCTCAATGACTGCCTGTTCTTACCTAAAATCTTTTGTGATTCAAATTACTGTTTCTGTACTTAATTCACTGGTATGACGATTATTATTAGTAAACATCACTAGTGTTCGACAGTATGATTCTCCACAGGCTTACTACACAGAAGACTGAATTTCTAAGCCCCTTAAAGTTAGGGAGTACTTTATCAATTAGTTCTGGCCAATTCATTGTGGGTTGAGTAATGAAGTACACTTACAAGAGTTGGTGCACCGTCCTCAGGCTGCATGTTTCACATAATACACCATGTTTCAGACAGTGCAGCTACAGGTTGGGAAATCCTCTGTCAGTCTGGATAACTGAGTTGCTTCATGGGAAACAGTTTCCAGGAAGATCCTCAGATCTGTAAAGGACTTTGTAACGACCATGAGATAAGCCACTGAGATTCAGGGTTCATTTGATAATACAGCATAAGGCTAACCTATCTTGAGACAAATATAGACACTGGTAACAGGAGTTGAGTGCTGCTGAAACAAAGAACCTAAAATAAAAAGCATTAGCTTAGGATTGATTGGCAGAAAAAACTAATATTGGAGGCTCGAAACATGGCACTTCACATTATGTAGCAATAAAGCATTTGATATAACTTACCGATGATAATCTGGGAGGCAGATAATGTACATAATGAATTTCGAGCTAGGAGAAGAGGTTTAAAAACCAGATACTAGTGTGTGGTGGGTGTTTTGGATGCACTAGACAAGGTATTATAAGAAAGAGAAGGGCTCAGGAAAAAAGAGTTGGCTTATGAAAGCTGAAACAAGAGGGAATACAGGCAATCCAAAATAAACTTGAGAAAGCTTTTAAGTGACAAAGGATTATTAAAACTCAGGCTTGCAACAAATATAACTAAGGATGTAAACTTTATATTCATTTTGGAAAAATTTTCAATGGATTAATTAAAGATGTGGAACCTTCGTTTTTTCCTCTTGGAAAAAAAAACAAAAGCCTGAGGGTGAAAATGTAATTAAGAGTACGTCTCTCTCAGCGGGGTGTGGTGGCTCACATCTGTAATCCCAGCACTTTGGAGGCCGAGGCAGGTGGATCACTTGAGATCAGGAGTTCAAGACCAGCCTGGCCAACATGGTGAAATATCGTCTCTGCTAAAAATACAAAAACTAGCCTGGCATGGTCGCGGGCGCCTGTAATCCCGGATATTCGGGAACTTGAGGCAGAATTGCTTGAACCCAGGAGGCAGATGTTGCGGTGAATGGAGATCACACCACTGCACTCTAGCCTGGGTGACAGAGCAAGACTGTCTCAAAACAAAGAGTATAGTATGTCTCTCTCATCAAATCTTGTAATTGTCGCAAAGTGAGGTGTGGGGGCAGGAAAGCAAAGAAATATAGCAAGCCCAAGAACTATGTGACAAAAAAACTCTGGTGTGGCTGCTGGCATATGAATCTACGGATGAAAAACCTACTAAAATTTTAAGAATTGTATTAAAAACACACACAAATTGTGGCAAAAACAACTGTGGCTATTCCAAATTAAGAGAAATTACAGTCCCCAGTCATCTAAGAAATAGTCTCAATAAAAGCTTTGTAACTCCCAAAGTTGGCATATATATATTCCTCAGTAGCTGTTCAGATGTAGCCATGAAGATTTAAGAAACAAACAAACAAAAAAACTTTCCCAGAGGATGGAGTCTAGAGTCAGAGAACACCACACAAGGGAATTCTTCCTAGGAGATAGAAAAGGAGCCTAATCATGAATATGCCCCATACCCAGACTTAGGGATACTAACAGTATCTCCCATTCTTACCCATTCTGAATGTTTATTGCAGATACAGTTCCACCACTGTACATTAAGTATGTGGAAAACAGAACATATCCTTTTGGTTCCTGGGTCTCCAGAATAGTAGGAACATCCAAACCTGATATAGCATTTCCAGAGAGCCTGGTCTTGGAGGATAAAACTTTTACCTTGATGGGACTTTTGGGCCCTGTCCCTTAAGAGTCACTGTGTACAAAGGAAAAAAAAAGGAAAAAAAAAAAAAACCTGTTTGGTGACCAGAGGGGTGGATTGTGGTAGAGATTTCTGTCAAATTCACATATCCCATTCTCCTTTTCCTATAAGCCCATGGGAGACTCTTTCCTACCCATCTTGCCTTGCAATTAGGCAGGGTCATATGATTACTGTTGGCCAATGGGTTGTCAGAGACACATCCAAGATGAGTAATTGCTGGGGCAAGATCTTTTAATGCTGTATTCTTCTGCCACAATGGGGAGACCTCATATTGAAATGGTACAGCCACAGACTGAATCAGTTTGGATTACGAGAATCGCCAGTTGGAGGACAGTTGCTTTTGCAGACTGTGCAGACTCACAGTGAACTTTGGATGCACCAGAAGTAACTTTTGTGTTAAGCCACTGGGATTTGGGGTTGTACTGCAGCACAACTCAGCCTATCCTAATACATATGGGAATGCAAACATCTCAGATATTTCTTCTTGGGTGCAATTTAAAATATGTATGAAATGGCTTTAGAAGTGTCCATGAACCTCCAAAATTACATGCAAAAATTAGGGACATACATTTTTCTGGGAACATACAGATGTTAAGACTTCCCTTCTCAGTCTCTATATTGCCAGAAGAGAGGGCCCCAGAATTAAAACCCCATTCTTCCTACAACACTCAGCTTTCTCTTTGGGGACTATCAGTACTAATATCACCATGCCGTTTATCTCTAGGATATCTTCATCCCCTGTACCTTAATTTCCACATGGCTTCATAGGGAGTCCATATTGCTTGATTTTTCTCCATATCATTACTATTAACATAAATTTTCCTTACATTCTTAGAATGTGTATTTCCTCACCTCTTAGATTTCCGGCTCTTATGTTGACTGCTGTATCCCTAGTACCTACCACACAACAGGTATCCAACAAATACTTATTTTTTATTTTTATTTTTTTTTGAGACAGTCTCTGTCATCCAGGCTGGAGTGCAGTGGTACGATCTTGGCTCACTGCAACCTCTGCCTCTTGGGTTCAAGCAATTCTCCTGCCTCAGCCTCCCAAGTAGCTGGGATTACAGGCGTGTGCCACCATGCCTAGCTAATTTTTGTATTTTTAGTAGAAATGGGGTTTTGTCATGTTGGCCAGGCTGGTCTTGAACTCCTGGTCTCAGGTGATCCACCCACCTTGGCCACCCAAAGTGCTGGGATTACAGGCATGAGCCATTGTGCCTGGCCTAACAAATACTTACTAAATGACTAAACAAACAAAAGATGGTCTTTAACTTTCATCATAATCTCAGAGAGCTTCATTACCTGAAAGAAGTTTAGACACAAATGGGTAGGCAAAATATTTCTTAATTGCTGGTGCAAGACCTTACCCTTTTTAATAATTATCCTGTCTAAGTAACCTTTTAAGAAACCCCTGAAAGGAAGATGATCATCCTTGGTAGATACTGAAATCTGAGTGAAAGTGGCCCAAAAGATATTTTGTTTTGAAATAAAGAATTTCTAAAATATGTAGGATATTTTGAATATAGCTGAGAAAGCTGCTATGAACTGAAGGTTTATGTCCCCTACAACATTCACAAATCCCCAGTGTGATAGTATTTGGAGATAGGGCCTTTGAGAAGTGATTAGGTCAGGAGGATGGAACCCTCCTGAATGGGCTGCATGAAAGAGGACCCACAGAGATGCCTTGTACTTTTCCCATGTGAGGACACAGCAAGAAGGTGCTGTCTTTATGAACCGAAGTGGGCCCTCATCAGACCCCAAGTCTACTGGCACCTTTATCTTAAACTTCCCAGCCTCCAGAACGGTGAGAAATAAATTTCTGTGAACACACACCTAGTTTATGGTATTTTTTTTATAGCAGCCTGAGTGGACTAAGACATAAGCAAATGCATTGTTGATAGATAAAGCATTCTGTCAATAACATAAACTGCGAAAATTCCAGGACCAATCTTGTAACATAAAATAAATAAGAACATTTATTATGCATGTTTTATACAGTAACATCAAAATAATGCTCAGTAAGTTACACAGCTATTTTCTAGAAACATGGCAAAAGAAAAAAAAACAGTAGGAATAACAGTATAAATTTATTACTCAAAATTGAAAATATAGTCATCTTTTAAACAGATTTGAATTCATGATTTCTACATAAACAAAAACATCATAAATATCTAGAAATAGTATTTTTTTTAACAATGTACTAGATACTATCTAAAGGCTCAATTTTATTGCACATATTTGATTTAGGCTTATTTGATCAATACATGCAGAAAAATAAATTACAAACATGAATTTTTAAAAAGGAATCAGCATGTTATTTTGTACTGCAAAAATTAGATGAGGGTTGATACATTTCACAGCTTAATCTTCAGAAAATTTTATTCTGCTATTGCATAAAATCACTGATTAAAATCATCACACATGGAAGCTAAGAACTATTAAATATAGTAAAATAGCTCTGTTGGTACATTTAAAATAGGAGAATAGGCATCAACTATTCTTTGAGTTGATACCAACTGTCTTCTTATTATTTTTGAGGCAGGGTCTCACCCTGTCACCAGGCAGGAGTGCAGTGGCGTGATCATGGCTCACTGCACCTTGTCCTCCTGGGCTCAAGCGATGTTCCCCACTCAGCCTCCCAACAGCATGAGCCATCATGCCTGGCTAATAAATTGATACCAACTATCACTCTTCTCAGCTACCTAAAAAGGTGGTCTTCACAAGTTTTAAAAGCATTAAATGATACAGTATTGGCACACAATTTTTTTTAATATTTGGAAAAAAACGGGAAGCTGGGGTAAACCAGTTTCTAAATAAAGCTAGTGAAACTTGTTTTACTTTAATTCATTCCAACACTATGGTAGTTATGTCGATGATATGTAAACATTCTTATTTATTTATACTGTTTCCTGAAGTGATCCAGAAACTATTGTTGTTATTATTAGTAGCCTCGCAATTTACTGTCCCTGCAAATGTGCTTTGGAAATACTCAAAATAAAAACAAAAATTTTAATGTAGACCCATGTGTAATTTAACATGCTTTCTCTGTTACAAAAGCTATATTTAGCAAATTCTTAAGTATTAAAACTTGAATTTATTCCATTTTTCAGAAGACAAGGAAAAAGCACTCATAAACTCTAGGCCATAAAAAAAATTCATAATTAGCTCATTTAACATGAATAAAATGAAAATAAAAATATCTTACTTGCATGTTACTTCTGGAATAATGTCAAAAATCTACGTAGATGTTTCCATTTTAAATGATGTTAAAATAGTGTCAGCACTGTGACTGACATAGCAAGTATGGGTATCTATCCAAATATTTATCTTTGAAACAAGAAACAAGTGACCATCCGATGAAAAGTGCATGCCTCTTAAAAGTATGTTTTCTGTAAGAAAAATCAGGTGACCTATATTTACATTTGGGCAGTTGCGGGGGGGGGGGGGGGGCGGTGAAAACTGCTCTTACCAAGATAGCTCACTTGAATAAAGACATTCAATATTTTTCAAAAAATTCACTGCTCTGGTACTGAGATCTCCAATGATAACGGATTACAGTTAAACGGAAAATGCTGTAAAATACCTTTTAACAGAACACAGCTTGACTTTGCAGATTAACTTAAAGATACATTTCTTGATTATTTCACTGTTAAAAATCAAGAAAAACACTACTATTAACATTTCAACATCTTAAAAATAGAATTTATGCAATGACATTTTTAAGCTTTGCACTTTGTGTACTATTACCATCTTTAATCAGTTATGTTCATCCATATATCAAAAGGCAGCACTGGTAACCTTGATAACATTATATATGCTTATGTGTTTAAGACAGTCAGTCTTGATTAAATATTTCCATACATTATCTGCAGCCACTATCCTTCTTTCCCAGGAGGAGAATGAAGTGGGACTAGGCATTTACCCGGCACTTGCCTGCACTACCATTCACTAGCACTAATGATTAGGATGCTTGAACCATGCAGTTTTGTTTCTATTTCAACAATATGACACTGAAGTAGCCATTATTTTTTGATATTTAAGCCTAAGTAATAGTAATATTCTTCATGCCAAGTTTTGACAGCTAAATAATTTATATTCTAGAGGGAAAAAATGATATTTTTGCTATTATTTATTTAAAAAATAAAAAATGCCAGCTTAATGTCCCATTAAAATAAAAGCTAAATTCACCTCAACTTGTTAATGATGCTTGCTGAAGACAAAAATAGTGATTTCAAAACCCCAAAACTGTGTTTAGTATTTATGAGAAGGAAAAAAAGTATTACATTTTTCTTTTTTTTTTTTTTTTTTTTTTTTTGAGACGGAGTCTCTCTCTGTCGCCCAGGCTGGAGTGCTGTGGCGCAATCTTGGCTCACTGCAAGCTCCGCCTCCCGGGTTCACGCCGTTCTCCTGCCTCAGCCTCCCGAGTAGCTGGGACTACAGGCGCCTGCCACTGCACCCGGCTAATTTTTTCTATTTTTAGTAGAGACGGGGTTTCACCATGGTCTCGATCTCCTGACCTTGTGATCCGCCCGCCTCGGCCTCCCAAAGCGCTGGGATTACAGGCGTGAGCCACCGCGCCCGGCCTACATTTTTCTGTTAATATAATTCTCTATCATTTACAAATATAATTTGGCAATTTATATTTCAAAGCTATCCTATGGTCCTATATGTATTATCAACTTCTAATTGCCAATTCTAAATTTTATAATCATCTATATTTGGCCTTGGCCAACCACTTGCAAGTTATCCTTAACTCCACCAGGAAGAGGGTGCAAGAGATATGTTTATGAAATGCCTCAACATATTTCTAGTTTTTCAAAACCTCAAAGTAATAGGCTAATCAACAGATTATTTGTAAACCCAAACTACTGCAATTATAGTGAATACCCTTTTATATGGTTGAATTGTATAAAATATGACAAGCGAACTACACTATATTAGGTGTTACTTCATGAAATTATGTGTTATAGCAGTTTCCTAAATGGTAGTACACATATACCACTGGATGGCCCTGAGATGATTTTAAGTGGTACATGGATAAACAATTTTTCTTTAATAGTTTTAATATTTATTATAAAAAATATAAAAGCACATAAAACATGGAATATGATTGCTCAAAACAAGACTAAGGTTAAAAAAGGCTAAAAATATTTTTAAAAAAATAACCATGATACAGAATATGTGAGATTTCAGGAAGGTGGTATTACATTTAGGAAACACTGTCTTAAGGAATGATTTGACTTAGCCAGCATCATTTCTGAATGCCTGTAATAATGAGCCACATCTAAAGGGGTTTCCTTTCCTACTATAAATTCTGGGAGGTTTTTGTAACCCAGAATAAATACCTGGAAACAAAATTCACATTTATTTTAAGACTATGAATTTTAAAGCATTGAGTAAATTTACTTTAAAAGGGTTCACCAAAATGTTGGAAAAGTTCAGGACTATTTGATGAACATGCTATTCCTACAGAAGAGGGAAGACTACAAAGGCACGTTATATATTATAGTTATCACTGCAGCATTCAAAAACAAATGACCTAAATAATCATTACCATTAATAGTTATAATACTCTTTCATAGAAAAGAAGGTAGGCTTGTGCACTAAGTGCTCTTGATTCTGGAACCACCTGTATGTAAGTGTCACTAACATGGACCCACTGGCCTGCTGATTCACTATCAGCCTCTTTCAAACCTAGCAAAACAAGAAGAAGTGCAATTTTAAAGTAAGTATGCTTTAGGTTCTTACTCTAAATTACAAACAATAACATATTCATTACAAACTCTATCTAATGCCAAATTTTACCTGAGAAGTCTGTTTTTTCTTGCGTTAAGCATTTTCCAAAAATAACGAATTTTTTTTTTTTTTAATTATACTTTAAGTTCTGGGATACCTGTGCAGAACGTGCAGGTTTGTTACATAGGTATACATGTGCCATGGTGGTTTGCTGCACCCATCAACCTGTTATCCGCATTATATATTTCTCCTAATGCTATCCCTCCCCTACCCCCTAACCCCCGACAGGCCCCAGTGTGTGATTCCACTCCCTGTGTCCATGTGTTCTCATTAGAACAAATTCTTTCAAAGCATTAATATTATAGGGATAATTAATAATGCTGTCTGGCCCAGTGCAGTGGCTCATGCCTATAATCCCAGCACTTTGGGAGGCTGAGGTGGGTGGATCACTTGAGGTCAGGAGTTTGAGACCAACCCAGCCAACATGGTGAAACCCCGTCTCTAATTTAAAAAAAAAAAAAAAACAGACATGAGCCAGGTGTGGTGGCAGGTGCCTGGAGTCCCAGGTACTCTGGAGGCTGAAGCAGGAGAATCGCTTGAACCTGGAAGGCAGAGGTTGCAGTGAGCCGAGATCGTGCCACTGCAATCCAGCCTGGGTGACAGAGTGAGACCTCATTTCAAAAACAAAACAAAAAAAGCAAAGTTAGTTGGATGACCCATAAACAAAGCCAGCAAATTTTCAACTCCGACTCTTCTGACAATCTGGTATGGCTTCAAAAACTTTTGGTATTGTTAAATAAAATGCTACTCCACTATAATACACAATGACTCAGTACCTTAAAATACCATGTCATCTCATATGACCTAGAAGGGTACAGTCTTCATAATATTTGAGATTTTCTAAGCACTTGTAGAGGGAATTCTCACTTAAGGTGAATCCAGTTGAGGCTGGGCATGGTGGCTCACACCTGTAATGCCAGTACTTTAGGAGGCCAAGGCGGGCAAATCACTTGAGGTCAGGAATTTGAGGCCAGCCTGGCCAACACCGCGAAACCCCGTCTCTACTAAAAATACAAAAAGTTAGGCGTGGTAGCATGCACCTGTAATCTCAGCTACTCGGGAGGCTGAGGAGTAAGAATCACTTGAACCCAGGAGGCAGAGGTTGTAGTGAGCCAAGATTGTGCCACTGCACTCCAGCTTGTGTGACTAAGTGAGACTCTATCTAAATAAATAAATAAATAAAATAAAATAAAGCAAGCAAGCAAATCCACTAGAGGCATCTATGAAATAATAACTTAGCTCTCCCAGAAAAGGAAGCACACATTCATTTTTAAAAATAAACTTAGGATGGCATACCAGGCACACTTTTCTTTTTAGTGGGATGTTCCGATAATTTCCTGGAGGGTGTTCTCACTTTCACATAAGCAGTGTAGTGGCCTTCTCTCATCGAGCCACTATGTTCCACTATGCCATAGAGACCGTAGAGAACTTTATCTCCCATGCTTGCATTCTTTTAAACAAAGAAAAAACCCAAATTAGTAATATCTGTTAAATACTGTTGTAAGGAAAAGTAAGTAAATGTATATCTGCCTAACATAAGAAAAATGCATAGTAAAAGTGAGATAGTTTCCATACCTATTAGGCCGGCAAAATTGAAAAACCTTAACAAGGTTCTCTGTTGGCTGATTTGTGGGGAAAAGAGCACTCACACATATTGCATATGGGAATGCAAAGGGTACAATCCCTACGCAGGGATATTTCTTTTTTTTCTCTCTCTCTGTTTTGAGACGGAGTCTTGCTCTGTCACCCAGGCTGGAGTGCAATGGCATGATCTTGGCTCACTGCAACCTCCGCCACCCCAAGCGATTCTCCTGCCTCACCTTCCCAAGTAGCTGGGATTACAGGCATCTGTTACCACGCCCAGCTAATTTTTATATTTTCAGTAGAAACAGGGTTTCACTTTGTTGGACAGGCTGGTCTCAAACTCTTGACCTCAGGTGATCCACCTGCCTTGGCCTCCCAAAGCGCTGGGATTACAGGCGTAAGCCACTGCACCTGACCTATGCAGGGATATTTCATGTTATCAGGCTGAGTTGTATATGTATTACTCTTGGATTCATTAATCCTTTTTCTAGGATTTGATCCCACAAATACATGAGCAAAATGTTAAAAGACATGTACCACACTATTAATTGCAGGATTATCTGTAATATCAAAACACTGGAATTAAAATGTCTGTAAATTGGGGACTGGTTGAATAAACTATGATGTATCCACACAATAGAGTATTATGCTTCTTGAAAAATGGAGTGCAGACGATCTCTAAATGCTGCTATGGAATAAGCTCTAGGATATAATGTTAAGAGTAAGGCAGAAAGAAGGATACACAGTGTCAGCTACTATTATTTAAGAGGGTAGATGAAAATATACATGCCTATCTGCTTATATTTAAATAATAAAAGAATAAGCCATAATTTTTTAAATGGTTACCTACAGGGAGAAGGAGCAAACAGGTAGAATGACGTGGCGAAAAGCCAGACATCTTTGAATTTACCTTATTTAGGTACATTTGACTTTGGACCTATATAAATATTTTATGTAATTAAACAAAATTAAATTTTAAAAGAAATTCCAAAAAGTGAAAATTAAAAATTGCACAAATGAACAACAGATCCAGTACTTATCTGGATACTAATTCATTTTAAAAATCACATTTATGAGACAATTGAAAATATGAACACTAGGTGATATGACAGAATTATTAAATGGTACTGTGGTTATGTTAAAAAGTGGAGAGGGAGCAATTCTTATCTTTTAGAGATACATAGTGAAATATTTATGGGTGAAATGATTTCTGATGTTTGCTTCAAAATAAGAAGAAGAAAGTGAATTAGTGTGTGGATAGGGCGGGACTGGCCATGGATGTAAGGGTTTAGGGCTGGGTGCTGGAAGTTCATGGTACTGTTCTATTTGCTTTTGTGTATATTGGAAATTCTCCGTAATAGGTACTTTTTAAAAATATGTTTTTATAAATTTAACACACAGCTTGTTAAATTTCATTATTATTTACCACATTATCAAATTCTAGGAATACTGAGTATTAATAATCGACAGATAGTGCTGGTATTCCACAGCAGATACACTGTAATTCAACCAAAAATTACATTTAAGATACTTTTGTTTTGACTATCATGTACTGAAAGTATTAAGTTCAATAGGCATTCTATTACATACCACAAAATCTAGACTTCTAGCCAGTAATCATGAACAGGACAATATGTTACCCCATAACTGCTTCCCTCAAGGAAGACAAAGTCATCTACTTCATCTACACAATTCTTACATGTAAAATAAGCAATGATAAACTAGTCTGCTTTCTGTACCTAATTATTACAGTAGCAGCAGTTTTGAAGTATCATACTCCGCTGACAAGTACATTATTCTCAGTAGTACACATGAAGTGGCACGAAAGACAATTCACTACTACATTGATTTGCAAGATACAGAACTCCGCAAATGGTAAAACTACTACTGATTAAACAGTTCACAAGGAACAAGAGAGGACACAAAACCTCACTTCTCTCAGCAACCATCAGCTTCAGTAGCATTTACAAACAGCTTAGACCTTCATAACCATCATGCCTCATGCCTTACCTTTTCAATTTTCCTTTATTTTGTCTCCCACAGGACAAAAATCATATTCAGTGTATTAAATGTTCCACATATTACTGACTTAATCACTGGCTATTAAAATTCCCTTTCAGAAGAGAAGTCTTTTTTTTTTTTTTTTAAGAAAAAGCATTGCCTAATAATATATAGGATACTTTCAAGCATATTAATTTATAAATCAATTAAATATCTTAATATACTGTACCTTACAAGTAGCAGAACAGAATGGTGCTAAATCGAGCATAAGTGGAAAATCTACATGTCTGTTTACTTTACGAAGACTCAAGCCAGCCTTAAAAAAACCAAAACATTTTTGAAATGCAACAAACAATTAGATCTAAAGCACTGTGTTTAACTAAAACCAAGAGAGAAATTGTAGCAGTTTTTTCATAGATAAAAATGTGACTAATGAATAGTCTAAAATTAATATGACTAAATTAAAAATTAGGTTTCATAAATTGTTACTGCAAAGATTCATTTATGTGGGGATTTTTACCACAAACAATAGGGGGAATAGTTACTTTCACTGTGGCTTTTCAACGCTTATGGAAAAATAAATTCAATATAAAAGCTAAGCTACTGACACACATGCTATCATGAAAATATATTCAACTAAAGAGTAAGGAGATTGGTGTTCTAGGCCTAACTCAGTGACTGGTTGTCAACTTGATTCCAGGTATAAAAGGATGAGATTAGGTCTTTTTCAGTTCTAAAATTCAATTATATTCATTCATTAAAACAAACAAACAACCTGAACATTCAAAACATTATACCAGTAAAAGTAAATGCTATATATTACATAAATAAAATTGTACTTTTATGTTCTTAAATATGCTATCTTTTTCTAATTTTCAAAGGCAAACCTTAAAAAGTGTATGCTTTGCATTACGTAATGGTAATAAAAACTAGCTAATAAAATATCAAAGGTATTGAGGAGACCTGTAAATAGAAATGGACTCTGTTGGAATGAGAAGATACCTAAATCTGAAATGAATGGGTAGACAAAAACTAAAAGAGGCAACCTTTCATGATGTCAATGATTGATCTTTCATTTGCATACTAACCACAATTTTACTGTAGATCTGTTGCTTTTTTATTGCTTATCTTTCTTTAAAGACAAAAAACACTTATTTTTTTGCCAAAGTGTAGCCACTTACTGATTTGTTTTTTCAAGTGATCTTTAGAAGGCTTGAAAATAGCTGACATGAAATTATGAGGTCATATCCCAGGAATATTTAATCTACATTCAATTTCTTTGCCTTTTTCATCAGGTGACCTCTATAAGCACCCAATACCAGCACTGTCTGAGATCATTTCAGGCTTTTGTGTTCTCCTCAGTCAGTACTTTGCTGTTGAGAAATTACCCCATCATACGAGAGACTGTGTGAAGGACTTTAATATAAGACGAATCTTTTTTTAGGTGGTAATTTTTGGAAAATATCTAGACTTATATTTGCATCTACAGTCTCCTGCCTTTTTCCCTTTAATGGAATGATACACTGCATTTTCCATATTAAAATATAAATCTGATGTCCTGCACATTGGACATTTAAGCTAGGCCTTACGTCTGGCATAACCTGAGTGGGACACACAAACATTTTTATGTATATCTCTATTTCCTTGTGGTAGGTTCTTACTTAGTCAAGAGTCATTAGCTTTGTTCAAAAATTGTTTTGTTTAAGACATTACTCGGCTGGGCACAGTGGCTCATGCCTGTAATCCAAGCACTTTGGGAGGCTGAGGTGGGTGAATCACCTGAGGTCAGGAGTTCAAGACCAGCCTGACCGACATGGTGAAACCCTGTCTCTAGTAAAAATACAAAAATTAGCCAGGCGTGGTGGTGGGTGCCTGTAATCTCAGTTACTCAGGAGGCTGAGGCAGGAGAATCACTTGAACCCAGGAGGTGGAGGTTGCAGTGAGCTGAGATCACGCCACTGCACTCCAGTCTGGGCGACAAAAGCGAAATTCCATCTCAAAAAAAAAAAAAAAAAATTACTCAATGTTCTTCATATTCATTACTAAATTGCTTTATTGTAGGTGTTACCAACTTACACTCCCAATGCTGGTAAATGAAAATGTATCTTAGGTCATTCTTATTAACACTACTATATCTTTGCTAATTTGGACAGGTTTAAAAAAGAATCTGCCATTTTATTTTGCCTTTCTTTTGCTGGGAAGGATGGCCCTTTTTTATACTTGCCTGAACTTTGTACTTCCAGAACTGTCAGTTGATATTCTTTTCCCATTTTACTATTAGGGTCTGATATTTTTCTTATTGATCTTTAAGACTCTTTATATACTTACAACGTTAAAAATTTGGCATTTTTATGACAAAGATCTCTATCCAGTTTCAGATTTGCATTTAAGTGTTGTGGATGTTTCTGATATACAGCCCTAAAGCTACCACAGAGAAGGCTTTCAGGGATGTCAATGAACTAGAAACACAGGCATTGCTTAGGGACTCTGCTCCCTATAATGCCCAAACCCTGGGAATAAGAATGTGGCTTTGCTGACATTACATTTAGCTTGAGAGAAAAAGGGACCTAGATGGATGTCCATAAATATTTCCCTTTAAGGGCAAGAATTATTTCTGTAAGTTGTTTCTAAACAGGGATGCAAGTACCAAATATAAAATAACTGTGGTGCATCATGAAATTAGCTTCTGCAATCTGGCATTATCCTCTCTTATTCACACAGAATCACTGCAGATGTACCCTTTCCATTAGGCGCTCTGATATGACAAGATATAATACATCTGCTTCTGTTCTTTATGCCATTTTAGTTCCATTGAGTTTCTATAACCTTGACTATGGAAGAATCCAGAACTTAATCTGTGGACAGGGATGGCAGAATGGAGAAAAATCTCTTCTCGCACATCTGGATTCCACCTAAAATGTTGCAAATATGTAAACTATCAATAGTTTTCCTTGAGATTTCCTTATTAGCTTTTATATTTAGAAAGTCTTTCACACAGAGGTCAAGTTAAATATTCATTTAAGGGCCAGGTGCAGTGGCTCACGCCTAAAATCCCAACACTTTGGGAGGCCGAGGTGGATCACCTGAGGTCAGGAGTTCAAGACCAGCCTGGCCGACATGGTGAAACCCCATCTCTACTAAAAATACAAAAATCAGCTAGGTGTGGTGGTGCACACCTGTAATCCCAGCTACTCGGGAGGCTGAGGCAGGAGAATCGCTTGAACCCAGGAGTCTGAGGTTGCAGGGAGCTGAGATTGTGCCACTGTACTCCAGCCTGGCAACAGAGGGAGATTCCCTCCCCCACTCCCACCCCCAAAAAATCATTTAAGTTTTCTCCTTGTTTTCTTGATAATTTGTTTTATACAATTAAAATTTTTATTTGAAAATTGTATGGGCCGGGCATGGTGGCTCACGCCTGTAATCCCAGCACTTTGGGAGGCCCAGGCAGGTGGATCGCTTGAGGTTAGGAGTTCGAAACCAGCCTGGCCAACATGGTGAAATCCCATCTCTACTAAAAATACAGAAATTAGCCAGTGTGGTAGTAGGCACTTGTAATCCCAGCTATTTGGGAGGCTGAGGCAGGAGAGTTGCTTGAACCCGGGAAGTAGAGGTTGCAGTGAACTGAGATTGAGCCACTGCACTCTAGCCTGGGCGACAGAGCAAGACTTTTATCTCCATCTGGTCTTGAACTCCTGACCTCAGGTGATCTGCCCACCTCGGCCTCCCAAAGACTGAGGGAGCCACCATGCCCGGCCACAAAACTTATTTTCTATTACCACACAAACATACGTGGAGATACCATTTAGGTTCCTGCTGCCTAAATTTTCAAATATTGTGAATTAAACAATTTTAATCAGGAAAGTCTTATAAACTATTATGGCTAGATGAGCAGTAAATCTCACATGACACATTTTAAAATTCAGTAAGTTACTGGTTACTGTCTAATCCTTGACAATATTCTATAGGACTTAAAGTTTTGTAAAACACATGATGAAAATTATGGTGCTACTGAAGAAACTTACCTGATGAAATCTTTTCAGATGGAGAATTAGGACAGCTGGAACAGCAGAAATGAGCAATTGCTTCCTGGCATTAGTATAAACTCCTTCTACTTTCTTTTCTACATAAAATACAATAAATTTATAAAATTCCATTTTATACATTATCTACCATATAATAAAAATTTATACAGAATCATACCACATTTTTAAAAATGTTAAAGAAATTGGACTTCTGATGAAAGGGCAGTCTTTACTCCTTCCTAAAACTCTGCTAAAATGAAAGTAAAGGAATTTTTTTTTTAAGGCACACAGTTAATAAGAACAAAGAATAGGAGAGGTAACACTTGAAACAAAATTTTGGAAGGTAGAAAGCAGATGGACTAGAAGTAATTTGTGTTAATGCCCTCCAGCCAAAAATCACCAGAAGCACATGTGTAGTTGAAGAGTTTAGGTTTAAAAAGATTTCTAAATTTTTTGTCTATTTTTTGTTTGTTTGTTTGTTTGAGACAGGGTCTTGCTGTTACCCAGGCTGAAGTCCCGTGAAGTGGTCAGGGCTCACTGCAGCCTTAACTTCCCAGGCACAAGCAATCCTCCCACCTCAGCCTCCCAAGTAGCTGGGACTACACGTGCATGCCACCCCACCTGGCTAATTTTTTAAACGTTTTTTGTAGACATGGGATCTCACTATGTTCCTCAGACTGGTCTTGAAATCCTGGCTACAAGCAATCCTCATGCCTTGGCCTCCCGAAGTGTTGGGATTACAGGTGTAAGCCACTGTGCCCAGTCCCAATTTCTAAATTCCTAAGATTTATGTTAGGATTTGAACATCGCCAACTGCATATTTAACTTGGATTAATGTAAGTAGGTATTCCTTCCTTCTCCCATGTCTTTATTACTAGCGTATTAAGCGTGTCTTTATTCTGATGCTTTGACATCTAGGGTCTGGTTAACACTGGAGGGACAACCCCTCCCAGGGCTAATTCACAGAGATAGTAAACAACTTATGTATGCATGCCTTTCATATGCAAACCAATCCAGAGTCCAGAGCCCATACCCCAACAACCTCCTTCACTGGGCTCTTGCACTCTGGACCACTACCCACTTGCTGTAATCACCCTAGGACCAGGCACCTGATAACTAGAGACAGCCCCTATATCCCAGAGCCCACTAAAATTATTCAAACTAGCCGATCCTAAGCCTGCTTACCCTGCCTTACACATTCCTTCCTTTAGAAATCACACTAAAGGCTCCTGCCCATGTTTTCCCCTCACTCTCCCACCTCCTGACTGACCCTGGTGCTTCCCTATGTGATCCTGTGTAGCACGGTGGGCCCCTTCTTCTTGGGAACTACGAATAACACACTATTTCTTCAGGGGCAATTATCTCCTGATCTTTTAGCCTCACCGTACCTGAATAATAAAGTCTACATTTTAAAACAAGTAGTCACTAAGAATCAGAGTATTCTTTCCATTTATTCAAGGATAAAGATGAAGTGAAAATTTCTTATTTTCCCCCTTTCTCCACTTTTCTCTGACCAACTAATCTTGGTAATTATAGCGCTAGCTTTATGACATGCTACTATTTAAAATCTTCAAAATTTATCTTACATTGAGTTTACAACAAATTGATAGGATCTGTGAAACACATTAGCCTCATCATTAATCTTACTAGTGATACGATTTGAAGTTTTAGGGAGGCCGGGCATGGTGGCTCACGCCTGTAATCTCAGCACTTTGGGAGGCCAAGGTGGGTGGATCATGAGGTCAGGCATTCAAGACCAGCCTGGCCAAGATGGTGAAACCTCATCTCTACTAAAAATACAAAAATTAGCTGGGCATGGTAGCGGGCACCTGTAATCCCAGCTACTCAGGAGGCTAAGGCAGAATAATCGCTTGAACTCAGGAGGTGGAGGTTGCAGTGAGCCGAGATCGCGCCACTGCACTCCAGCCTGGGCAACACAGTGAGACTCCATCTAAAAAAAAAAGAAAAGTTGTAGGGGTATTTCTTCTGGATAGATTTCAGATACATAGTTGCCTCAAGTAAGATTATATGAGTTTGCATTTTTAAGGCAGAGTTGTATACTTCCTGCTCTTCAATTTATTTAAACAAAAAAAACTATTGAAAATCTGTTCTGCCCAGTATCGTAAGTGCTCAGGTACAAACATGAATAAAACAATCTCTGTGCTTAAGTAACGCAAGTATAGAAACAAGATTCTCAGTAAAATTCTCAGTGAAATTTGTAACTCACTGGACACTATCAGGAAATCAATAATTATTTAATTAAAAAAATAGTTACCTGCAAAACTGGTTTCTTCTTGGTACTTCTGTTTGTTTTTAGTACAGTTCTCACATAGAAGCTTATTATTCCCCATTAGTAATTCCATAGATGTAAACTGGTAGAGACAGGACTGAACTGAACATTCTTTAGAAGTAGTTATATAGGTCTGAGAAAGGGTCTGAAAAGCATTTTGGGGACTATGAGGCCTCAAATGCTTCCCCTCTAAAAACCATAAATTATTTGAAATACTTAGTGGCTGATTTTCTCTGTCAAAATCTTGATGTCCAGTTACAGTGCTCCTCAAACGAAGTTCAGAAATAGCTTCAGCCATTTGCTTATCACCACTGTCAGTCTCCTTGGTGTACGCCAGTTCACCTGCTGATGGAGGGTAAAGGGGTCCATCTGTGTGCACACCAGATCCACTACTGGATCTGAACAGCTCAGTCTGCTTTGAAGCACTTTCAGATTCTGAAGCCTCACTATCAGCATCAACATTACTTTCAGAACGGCTGGCTTCTTTTTCACTGTCATCAGCAGGGCTTTCATTCAGAGGTGACTCAGAATTCATGAGTCTTGCAAACATTAAAGAATCCCCATTCATTTCAAGGTTTTCCTTTGTCTGGTATGTGACAACAGCTTCTCCAGACAATTTTCGAATACATTTTCGGTCCTGAATTAGTTGACTCTGTAAGTTGACAGTGTTTTCAAAGAAAAAGAATCTTGTAACCTCGTTGCAAATAAATGCCAATAATTCTTATTTAAACATATCACAGTTATTAAATACCATTTCTCTCAGATCCATTTCCTAAGCCTACTGAAACTAAGATCACTAGAAGATATACTAAAAAATAGTTCTATTTTACAAGTAAATCTTCACACAAGAAACTAACAACAATATAACAGTGGCTATTTGTGGGGAAGGAAGTAGGACTTTTGTAGAACAGGGCTATGAGACTTTTTTCTTTTAAAAAAAATTGCTTTTAGAGACAGGGTCTTACTCTGTTGCCTAGGCTGGAGTGCAGTAGCACTCAAGTGATCCTCCCACCTCAGCCTCCCATGTACTTACTACTACAAGCATACACCACCACACCTGGCTAATTTTTAAATTTTTTGTAGAGACAAAGTCTCTCCATGTTGCCTAGGCTGGTCTTGAACTCCTGGCCTCAAGCGATCCTCCCACCTTGGCTTCCCAAAGGAGACTTTTCAGTTACTGTATAAGCCTTTCCATACTTGTTCATTTTTAAACACTGAAAATGTATCTAGTTTTTTAAAAAATTAAAAAGTAACAAAAGTAAACTATAAACTATTATGACACGGTGTTGCTTGGTTGCCATAGATCTGGAAGAAAATTACAGAAATAAAATAACCTAAGTTTGGGAAGGGGGGAATCAACTAATTAAAAATTTTAAGGTACCTGAAATGTTTCACTAAAGTTTCCACACAGCTGAAGGCTCGAATTACATTTTTCTTTTCCTATACCTTGGCTGAAGGGTCAAGACAAAAAATAAAGACTATCATGAGTAATTGATACTCGGTTTTAGTTATTCAGGGGAAGAAGAAGGGTAAGTTATAAAAAGTGTCTTGCCTCAATCTTCAAAATCAGGAAAAATAACATTGTCTCCTGTGTTTACCAAGTATTCTGAACTCCTTGAATGAAAATAAGGTATTTATTTTCACCATATATATTTGGTATACTAGAGAGCATATGATAAGTAATAAAGCTTATGGTAACAGCCAACAAGTTCCACTCTGATGAATTTAAATAGTACTTTTTTTGGAAGCAAATTTTCCTATTATATATGTAATACTAATAGTTAAGAAGCCCTAGCCAGAGCAATCAGGCAGAAGAAGAAAATAAAAGGTATCCAAATTGGAAAAGAAGTCAAATTGTTCCTCTTCACAGACAACATAATCTTACATATAGGAAAATCCAAAGACTTCAACAAAAAACCCTTAGAACTGATAAATTCAGTCAAGTTGTTGAATGCAAAATCAACATCCAAAAATCAGTAGTGTTTCTATACACTAACAAAAAACTATCTGGAAAAAAAAAATCAACAAGGCAATCTCGTTTATAATGGCTACAAAAGAAAAAAAATCTCACCTAGAAAATATAAAATACTGATGAAAGAAACGAAGAAGACACAAACGAAAAAGCAGCCCATGCTCATGGATCAGGAAAATATTATTAAAATGACCATGCCACCCAAAGCAATCTATGGACTCAATGAAATTCCTATCAAAATTCCAATGACATTTTTCACATAAAAAGAAAAAACAATCCTAAAATGTATATGGAACCTGGCTGGGCACAGTGGCTCATGCCTGTAATCCCAGCACTTTGGGAGGCTGAGGGAGGTGGATCACCTAAGGCCAAGAGTTTGAGACTAGCCTGGCCAACATGATGAAACCCCATCTCTACTAAAAATACAAAAAATTAGCCAGGCATGGTAGCGGGCACCTGTAATCCCAGCTACTTGGGTGGCTGAGGCAGGAGAACCACTTGAACGTGGGAGGTGGAGGCTGCAGTGAGCTGAGATTGCACCATTGCACTCTGGCCTGGGCAACAAGATGGAGTTTCACTCCATCTAAAAAAAAAAAAAAATTTTTTTTTTTTTTTGTATGGAACCAAAAAAGAGCTAGAATCACTAAAGCAATTCTGGGCAAAAGGAACAAAGCTGGAAGCCTCACACTACCTGACTTCAAAATATACTACAAGACTACAGTAACCAAAACAGTATGGTTGGTATAAAACCAGACACATAGACCAATGCAACAGAATAAAGAAATAAATCCACATACTTACAGCCAACTGATTTCTGACAAAGGGGCCAAGAAAAAACACTGGGGAAAGGACGCCCTCTTCAACAAATGGTACTGGGAAAACTGGTTATCCATATGCAGAAGAATACAACTAGAACCTTATCTCTCACCATATACAAAAATCAACTCAAGATAGATTAAAGACTTAAATGTAAGATCTAAAACTATAAAACTACAAGAAGAAAACATAGGAGAAACACTCAGGACATTAGTCTAGGTAATGATTTTATGTAGACCTCAAAAGCACAGGCATCAAAAACAAATGGGACTACATTGAACTAAAAAGTTTCTGCACAGAAAAGGAAATAATCAACAGAGTTAGAGACCCCTGTTGAATGGGAGAAAATATCTGCAAACTCTTCATCCTATAAGGAACTAATGTTAGACATTTCCCAAAAGAAGACATCCAAATGGCCAAGAGGTATATGAAAAAAAAATGCTCAACATCACTAACCATCAAGGAAATGCAGCTCAAAACCACAATAAAATATCATTTTGCCCCAGTTAGAATGGTTATTATCAAAAAAGACAACTAATAAGATGCCTTCAAGAATGTGGAGAAAAGGAGTCTGATACACTGCTGGTGGGAATGTAAATTAGTACAGCCATCATAGAAAACAGTATGGAGATGGCTGGGCGTGGTCGCTCACGCCTGTAATCTCAGCAGTTTGGGAGGCCAAAGTGGGTGGATCACGAGGTCAGGAGTCCAAGACCATCCTGGCCAACATGGTGAAAACCCTGTCTCTACTAAAAATACAAAAAAATAAGCTGGGCGTGATGGCGGGTGCCTGTAATCCCAGCTACTCGGGAGGCTGATGCAGTGGAATCACTTGAACCCGGGAGACGGAGGTCGCAGTGAGCCGAGATCACACCACTGCACTCCAGCCCAGGTGACAAAGTGACACTCCATCTCAAAAAAAAAAAAAACAAACACAACAGTATGGAGATTTCTCAAAAAATTAAAATAGGGCCAGGTACAATGGCTCATACCTGTAATCCCAGCACTTTGGGAGACTGAGGTGGGTGGATCACTTGAGGTCAGGAGTTCGAGACCAGCCTGGGGAACATGGTGAAACCCAGTCTCTAATAAAATACAAGAATTAGCTGGGCGTGGTAGCACACGCCTGTAGACCCAGCTACTTGGGAGATGAAGGCTGAGGCATGAGAATCACTGGAACCCAGAAGGAAGATGTTGCAGTGAGCTGAGACTGTGTCACAGCACTTCAGCCTGGGCAATGGAGTGAGACTCTGTCTCAAACAACAACAACAACAATAACAACAACAACAAACTAAAATAGAGCTACCATAAGATCCAGCAATCTCACTACTAGACATTTATCCAAAGAAAAGAAAATCAGTGTATCAAAAGGATACCTGCACCCCCATGTTTACTGTAGTGCTATTCACAATAGCCAAGATATAGAATCAATCTAAGTGTCCATCAGTAGTTGAATGGATAAATGTAGTATATATCAATAATGGAATACTCTTTGGCCCTAAAAAGAATGAAATCCTGTCATTTGCATCAACATGGATTGAACTGGAGATCATTGTGTTAAGTGAGGCAAGTTAGGCACAGAAAGGCAAATATCCCATGTTCTCACTCTTACGTGAGAGCTAAAAAAAAAAAAAAAAAAAAAAAAAGAATGTTGGGGCAGGCACGGTGGCTTATGCCTGTAATCCCAGCACTTTGGGAGGTCGAGGTGGGCAGATCATGAAGTCAGGAGATCGAGACCATCCTGGCTAACAAGGTGAAACCCCGTCTCTACTAAAAATACAAAAATTAGCCGGGCTTGGTGGTGGGCGCTTGTAGTCCCGGCTACTCAGGAGGCTGAGGCAGGAGAATGGCATGAACCCAGGAGGCAGAGCTTGCAGTGAGCCGAGACTGCGCCACTGCACTCCAGTCTGGGCAAGAGAGCGAGACTCAGTCTCAAAAAGAAAAAAAAAAAAAGTTGATCTTCTGAAAGTAGAGTGTAGAATGATAGATATCAGAGGCTTAGAAGAGAGTGAATGAGGGTGTCGTGGAGGAGCTAAAAAGAGAGGTACATTAGTTGAGTACAAAGAGTTAGATAGAAGGAATAGTTCTAATGTTCCATAGAACAGTATGGTAACTACAGTTAACAACAATAGATTATATATTTCAAGGTAGCTAAAAGAGAAAATCTGAAATGTGCTCATTGCAAAGAAATGATAAATGCTTAAGGTAACTGATATCCCAAATACCCTCACTTGATCACAATACATTCTATATACATGTATCAAAATATCACATATACATCATAAATATGTACAAATATTATGTACCAAAATTATTAATGGTCAATGGAAAAATATAGACCCATACAGGTTTTTAGTAACTTGTCCAAGATCATATAACTAATAAAAATAGCTGTGTCCAGAATCCAATTAATCTCATTTCTAATTGAATAGTTTCCAAACTCAGGTGATTACCAGACTCACCTAAGAGGGCTTGCTTTAAAAGATACATATCTGAGGCATTACCACTAAGAAATTCCCATTAATGATGTCTGAGGTTGGGTATGAGAATTTGTTTGAATAGACAGTTGATTCTCATGATCAGCTGGTCTGAGGAACTTTTGAATGAGACTATTCTATCTATCCTTTTTATCCTCCTGCTCCCAGTGAAATATAAAAGTACCACCCATTCCCATCCTTGTTTTTTGCTTAGTGGACATATGATGGATTTAATCCACTAAAAATATCCTAAGTTTATAACGTAAATTAGGATCAAAGATTAAGAAGTCTATTTTGAAAAAATAACCAAAATTACATGGGAGAAAGCTTACTATCAAAGAAGTGATACAGGATAGAAGAGTATGATTCTGGAACTAGACTGCCCGG